TGTATAATTAAACCCAATGCATTGGGTTATTTTGATTAAATGTTTTTTTTTTCATTCTAGTATTACTATTGCTACTGTTACTAGTACCTTTATTAACTTTATAAATATGACTGTGTAAATAAATAAAAAACAATATAAAAAAATATTGAAAATGCTTTTTTCCATTACATTTCAGTTCCAGACACTTTTGTTAAAATAAATCAAGAATCACAAACACTGAAGAAACAGAACAAAGTACAGACAGTTGCAAACTGCAAGCAGAAACCCTGTGTTGATGGAGCAGAGTATGGAGCTCTGTGTGCTGTAGAGGCTCCACTCAATACAATACATTTTAACCACATCTAAACGCTTCTAAAAGATAGTCTTGGATGGTGAAATGGATTTAAAAAAACACAACACAGAGGTCATTTGATAAAAAAAATTACAATATTATTACATTAGAGCTTAAATAAACTTTATCACGCAAAAACAACATTACGCACACATACTAATACAGCTGTTTTGTGTCAGTTGAATCAGTTGACTGTTGAAACTAAATTTTCTAACTCAACTGTTTGAGTTATTAAATAAATAACCCAATAGAGGTTAAAAATAACCCAACAAAGCACCAAATATTTAACCCAACTGGTTGAGTTATTAATAAATAATCGAATAACGTTTAAAAATAACCCAACAAAGCACCAAATATGTGTGTAATATAGTGTGTCCCTAGCAACACATTTGTTATGTTTCCTTTACAAATATTGAGAATATTACAGTCTATTCTAAATTAACATAAAATCCCTTACAAAAGCCAACACAAATTCTAATATCATAAATAAATCCTAAATAAATAAATGAGATTTTTTAAAGAAATGACATTTAATCTTTATTTTTATTAGGAAATGTAAAAATATCATACAATAATAATAATATTAAAAATTTTAATGATGATAATGAATATTATTATTATTATTAGGTAGAATATTTAGTAGGTTTTATAAAATAGTCCGCTTTATATAAAACCTACTAAATACTCTACCTAATAATAATAATAATATTCATATTATGTTTCTATGTTTCTATATATATATATATATATATATATATATATATATATATATATATATATATATATATATATATATATATATATATATATATATTTTTTTTTTAAGTCTACCTTAACAATCAGACATTTAAACCTCTGCAGAAAGTTTTACCCAGCAGGCCCATGTCATATACAGAACAGATACTTAATAAATAACCTACTATAAATTAAAGCAGTAACGTATGCTGTGTTTTTTGTTTTCACAAGCTTTGGAGACGAAACAAATTTCACTTTTAAATAACAGGTCACCTAGCTTTCATCATGAGCCACGGCTGTGTTCCAAATGACATCAATGTTTTTAAAGTGCACTGTGAAGGGAGCACAATTGTAAACATGAAGATCGCTAAAACTGAACTGCAACAATACTTTGAAAGCAATTTACATCTAAGAGAGATGAGCTTAATGCTTTTTTATTGTTAACCATTCCATGTTCAAATGTAAGAATATTTTAAATGAATAGGGCATAGGGGCGATAAGTGTTAATAGAACACAGCCAGGAACTATGTTTTTAACTACAGCTCCAGAGGTGTAGTTGCAAGTGCAGAACTTTGCGATGCAGGTAGTGAATGCTTGTTGGAACAATGGATTTGGGAAATGTCAAATCAATGAACTATGTTTGCATTGACACAAGTTGCGACCTTCGGAAACACCCCCAGAAAGACATAATGCCCTAGCGACACCTTAGTAACCACTCAGAACACAAGCAACTTAGGAACTACAGAGCAACATAACCCCCTAGTGACACCTTAAGAACGTAGAACCCCGTTATCTCATGTCTACACCTTAGCAACGAGTTAGAAAATCATAACCCCCTAGCGACAGCTTAGTAACCATTTAGAACACCATAACCCCATTAAGAACTGTGATTATTGTTTTTCTTAAGGAGACGTTGAGAAGCTTGGTGATGTTGGCTGAGGTGCAGGACATTGGTCATGTGTGTGTGTGTGTGTGTGATCTGCTGGAGGAGCAGCACACACACAGCTGTCACTCCTTCACGACACACACACAGAGGTGTATTTATAGCAGTGGCATCAGTGTGTGTCTGTGCACAGCTGTTCTGGACAAATGGAGGCTGATTCAGAGCCTCACGCCTAGACTCGAGTCCGGCCAGGAGTCAGCAGGGCCCGTCAGGCCTTCAGGGCCCCTGGCACGCGGACCACAGAAACAGGAGCCGCCGCGGAAGAGTCACGCTTATGACCTTTTACAGTAAAACACTCGGCGAGAAAGTCTGGACAGCTGCAGAGGAGCCAGACAAAAGATCAGCAGCATCTGATGGCTTTCATCAACTGCAGCTACATTACAGTACACGAGAAATCAAACCTAACCACTCTGATTTTGTTATGTGCTAGTTTTGTGGTGAACAATTCATCTGTACAGGTCATTAAGAAAAACAATAGTTTGCCCTTGTAATATAAAATTACAGTGCATCTGGAAAGTATTCAGTGCTTCACTTTTTCCACATTTATTTCCTCAACATTCTACACACAATCCCCCATAATGACAATGTGAGAAAAGAGTTTTGAAATTGTTGCAAATTTATTAAAAATAAAATAGCTGAACAATCAGATGTACATTATTATTCACAGGCTTTGCTCAATACTTTTTGTTGATGCACCTTTGGCATCAATTACAGCCTCGATTCTTTGTGAATATGATGCCACAAGCTTGGCACAGCTGAATTTTTGCCCGTTCCTCTTTGCAGTACCTCTCAAGCTCTATCAGGTTGGATGGGAAGCGATGGTGTACAGCCATTTTCAGATCTCTCCAGAGATGTTCAATAGGATTCAGGTCTGGGCTCTGGCTGGGCCACTCAAGGACATTCACCGAGTCATTGTGAAGCCGCTCCATCGATATTTTGGCGGTGTGCTTTGGGTCATTGTCCTGCTGGAAGATGAACCGTCGCCCCAGTCCGAGGTCAAGAGCACTCTGAAGCAGGTCTTCACTCAGGATGTCTCTGTACATTGCTGCATTCATCTTTCCCTCTATCCTGACTAGTTCCTGCTGCTGAAACACATCCCCACAGCATGACGCTGCCACCACCATGCTTCACTGTAGGGATGCTGTTAGCCTGCTGATGAACGCTGCCTGCTCTTCTCCAAACGTAACGCCTGGCTTTCACTCCAAAGAGTTCAATTTGAGTCTCAGAGCCGAGAGTTTAGTTTCTGATGGTCTGAGAGTTCTTCAGATGCTTTTGGCAAATTCCAGATAGGGAGTCTGGCCACTCTACCATACAGGCCTGATTGGTGGATTGCTGCACAGATGGTTGTCCTTCTGTAAGGTTCTCCCCTCTCCACAGAATAACGCTGGAGCTCAGACAGAGTGACCATCGGGTGATCGATCATCTCCCTGACTGAGGCCCTTCTCCCACAATCACTCAGCTTAGATGGCCGGCCAGCTCTAGGAAGAGTCCTGGTGGTCAAACATCTTCCACTTACGGATGGAGGCCGCTGTGCTCATTGAACTTTTAGAGCAGCAGAAATGTTTCTGAAACCTTCCCCAGCCTTGTGCCTACAGACAATCCTGTCTTGGAGGTCTGCAGACAATTCCTGTCTTCATGCTTGGTTTGTACTTTGACATGCACTGTCTACCCTGGACCCTCATATAGACAGGCCTTTTCAGATCATGTCCAATCAGCTGAATTGAGCACAGGTGAACTCCAATGAAGCTGCTGAAACATCTCAAGAATGATCAGTGGAGACAGAATGCTGATTGCACAGCTTTATTTGTAATAAATTTGCAACAACTTAAACTCTTTTTCCACATTGTCATAAAGGGGGATTGTGTGTAGAATGTTGAGGAAATAAATTAATGTATTATGGAATAAGACAAACAAACAAAATCTGGAAGAAGCGCTATCAATACTTTCCAGATGCCCTGTACACTATGCATTAAGACCTTACAAACATATGTTGCACAACGCAAATAACAGACAGAATTTAGCAATTTTTACTTTGATCAGAGTCTTTATTATAGCAGGCCTATTCAGGTTAATTTTGATATTGGTAAAGGTGTCTGCAACTTTTGCGAAGTATCAGCTGGGTCGCACTTTAAAATGGTACACCCGTTTCTAAAGTCAATATTAATAAAATGTTCCCTGAACCCTTTGGCGATTCCTTTATTCAGGTATGCTGAAATCACAGCTTAGAACTATAAATCAATTTAAGTTAACCAACATTAAAAGCTATAGTCATTGATGCTAATTGACCAAAGAAGTGCAGTCGTGGTAAACAAGACTAAAAATAAAGTTTTAGATTAGTATATCGATTAGCAGTGCATTTAACAGTGAAGTTCCCCAGATTACCATCATACCCTCCCTCACTGAAAAACCTAGATGAGTTCAGTTGCTCTAAACTAAAAGCTCCAGCATTTGTCATGCAAGTATTTATGAGGCTTCAGTGGCAGACTGAAGTAAAAGTTTACAGTTTACACCAAAACCTGACCTGAGTTTCCAAAGCATAGAGTGACAAAAGCAGAATTAACATTTAATGAAGGCAAAACTTGTACATTAAAATCTATTAACCACCCACACACCAGTATAAAGCACTTACTAACATGAACAATTAATACATTTATAGTATTTATGAAGACTACATTAATGAAAATGGAGTCGTTCGTTCATTTTAGCAGTAATGTTCACGAGCATGAATACATGAGGCATTACTACATGTTGAACTCTATGCACTGTTCATTATTAGTAATTAACTATAATTATTGTAACCTTAAATGTAAAGTGTGACCAAAGTGCTGAGAAACACATGCTGATTAATGAACTGCACTCCTGTGCTGCCCTCTAGTGTCAGACCACTGTTAATGCACACAGTTCCTACACAACTGCTGATGCACTCAAATACATTTGCAATGAAATGCCAACAAATTAAAAATGTACAAATGTTCAAACCCACCAAGACAGTTAGGAAAGCACAAGTATTTATTTCATTAAATCACAGTTGTATGTACACAAGTGGCAGGAAAGCATATATAAAATAATCTCATTTACATGTCAATGGGAATGCATTAAAAATCATATGTGGTGTAATTCTCATATGGTCATCTCTGCAGGGGTGTGAGATCAGGAGGAGCAGCCGCAGCACAGGACGCGCTCGTAACGCTCACTGTAACTGAATAAAAATAAATAAATTAAAATCATGTTTGCTTTGATGCAGTGCTTGAGTTTCACTTTGCAATAAAAGCACTGGTCACACTTTACAATAGGGTTCCATTAGCAAATGCATTAACTAACATGAAGTAATGAGCAATACTTCTACAGCATTTATTAATCATAGTTCAGCACACTTACTAATACATGAACATCCAAATTTATGCTTAAACACGCCATGAGGAAGAACGAATTATTGCATTCTCTTTAATGTTAACTAACATGAATACTGCTGTTTTGGTCATGGTTTGTTCATGTTAATAAATGCATTGAGATTAATACAACCTTATTGTAAAGTGCTACCAAAGCATGTGCCAAACCTAATGTTTTACAGCACGGACAGCAGCATAAATGTGATGACAATGGAAATTAGAAACCAGTGAGCAGCTTTTATTTTACTGTTGGATAAGATCACACTATTGAATATTTTTTGAATGTTTATTATTATTATTATTATTATTATTCCGCCCCTAAATCGGAGCACTTTTGAGGGTCTAAACATGCTCAAACTCCTGAAATTTAGCACACACAAACATGGTGTAAATGATCGGTTAAGGGTGTCGAAAGTGGGAGTGGCAAAATGACTTGACAGCACCACTTATAAACATTAGACGGACAGGCCACCGATCTACAAGTCACGCACATACACGAAAATTGGCACACACGTCAAACATGCCAAATCTCATGCGGAATCTCAAACCCAACAGGAAGTTGGATATTTAACTTAATATTTGCCATTTCCAGGCGTTGTATTTTAACAAACTGCTCCTAGGGATTTTATCGGATCAACACCAAAATTGGGTTTTCATCTAAAGGCATTGGCGATGTTAAATTGCGAAGATCTAGAGTTTCCGTCGAAGGGTGTGTCCGTGCAAACTTTGGCGATTCAACACGAAAAAGTTGCTATAACTCGTGCATGCATCATCCAATCTGCCTCAATTCACACGTTTGATAAGTCCTGACCTGAACAGGTTTACAGGCCAATATCCAGATACAGCGCCACCAACTGGCAACAGAAAATTACTTATAACTCAGCCAAACAATGTCCTATCTACCTGAAAATTCATAGGTTAGATATGCCTCTCCTTAAGACATCTACATGCCAATATTGAGTCAGTCATAGCGCCACCTGCTGGCAACAGGAAATTACTTATAACTCAGCCAAACAACGTCCGATCTGCCTGAATTCAGTTAATAAGATTCCTTTACTGAAGGCATCTACATGCCAATCTTGAATCAGAGTTATAGCACCACCTGCTGACAGGAGGAAGTTTGTCAAATCGGTGATTTTCAGGTGTATATATATATATATATATATATATATGCTTAAATTGTTGTTCGCTCTTCTCTGTCATCCCAAGCTAAGGCCACCGGGTAGCGGTGAGCCCAGGTGCGAGGTACCCATCATCGCTGCTTGCAGCTTTAATTCAAATAGAATAGAATTTTAATATTCAAATATTAAATTTAATTTTTAATTCAAAATCCTAAATGGAAACGATTTTATTTTTATTTTTTTTAAATCACTTTACTGACTGGCTTTTTTTTTCTGAGCACACTTTTACTGAATTTTGGAAACTGGTAGCATTCTTTCCTACAGTGGAAAACGATTTGCTATCATTTATACCCATTAATACATTTCTATTTCAAGGATAAAACACTACAAACGATTGGAAACACTTGATTGTGAGTAAATATTAACTTTTGGGTTTAAGAATATTACTTAAATATTGTATTCAATTAGTTAATATTATAGTTAGTTATAATTAGTTAAATATTGTTCATTTTATTTCTGCTTTTGTAAAATATTAAGTTGAACTAAAATGGAATTTTGAAGCTGCCACAGAACCAAAATGACAATTTTGAAAACACTTTACAAAGATGCAAAATCTGTGGGGGAGAATTAAAAATATATAAATAAATAAAAAAAATCTAAATGTGGTCTTTAAGTTAGTAACTTTACCAAAGTGACCAATTTAAATTAGGGTGAACTCGCATGGCATGAAACGTGCCTAGGGGCATGGTACAGCCTCAATAATAACTACATTGTCTTTAGTTTGCAGGTTGAAAATTAACAAATTCAGAATACTTCCAAAAAAAAAAAAAAAATTAAATAGTCTTAAATTGTGTATTGGTGCAGGACTCACTCAGTGACTGTGCAGACGGAGCAGCAGATCTCAGAACAGCTGTTACACTGCTGGACACACGAGGAACAGACCTGACGCTCACACTGAGAACAGCACTTCCTCAAAGCAGAGCCGCGCTGACACACACCACATGCTGGAGGACACACACCCACACCTGAAACACAACAGAACACTTACAACACTCATATTGAGGGAGTCGCATTTAGAATAGATTTAGGGATGCACTGAAATCAAATCTGGGCTGAGACAGAACATTCTGGATGCACTTAGACAAAAATGCAACCGTTTAACAAGCATATCGGTGATTTTCTTGGCCAGTTCTAACTTTTTTTTTTGGTTAGCATGACCTCCAGATGCACTTTCGCAAATCAAAACTTCTATTAAAATGAATCTATTACACTAATTCTTAATTAAACAACAACAATCTATAAAAAAAATCATCAGAAGAACTAGAATTGACAGCATAAACAAATTGCATTAATAGTTTAAAAATCAACCTTTCTAAAACCAACCCACACAGTAGCGTAAATGCAGTAATTATACCAATAATCCTTAATATTTTATTACTCTAGTTGTAAACAATTGGTTACACCATGGGAAATATTGATAAAAAAATAATTCATTAAAGTTCTTTAGTATCACAAGAATCCAGAGCTAGTTTTGGTTTCTTGGTGTTGAAAATATTGGAGAACTGACTATTGCTAATGAACTGTCTGATTAGGTTAATTAGTCAGCAGATCAAATGTTCAGATGCGCTAGCAGCACAGAGACTGACCCCTGCTGGTTACAAGAGATAATGCACAATTGAAAGCAGAATCTAAACCAGGGGTGTTAAACTCAGTTGCTGGAGGGCAGCAGCCCTGCAGTTTAGTTTCAACTCAACTCCAATATACGAACCTGTAGGTTTCGAACAAGCCTGAACGTTTGATCAGGTGTTTAATTACTGTGGGAACTAAACTGTTTAGAGCTACAGCCAGGGGTGTAGATTTAGCATGGATGGAGATGAGAACAAAGGAACTTTTCTACAAAAAAAACACGAGTCTCAAACGCAAGCCCGATACGGAGTCAAAGTCAGCTTTGTCAATTCAGCCACATGTACAGGAGATATAGAGAATCGAAATTACGTTACTCAGACCCTAGATGCCTAACATATGTTATTAATACAAGTAGAGTTACAATCCTGATAATTGAGGGAGTCAATCATGATAATGCCGTTAATGCTAGTTCATCTCCTTCACATTCTTAGTCTAACATTATAGCAGGCTGATATTGCCTATGCATAATATGCCCTGAAAACAAACCGCTACAAGTATACACATGATCCTGTCAGTTCTCTTAATCTCAGAGTAGCATGCCATTTGAAAATATCGGGAAAACTACAGCCTGTGCACCATCTTTTATCAACACTGAGACCTGCTTCATTTGCACTATGGATAGTCGTTATTACGATCTCTATCAGTTAATACCATTCCTTCAATAATCACACCATTTAATTAAACTTAATAAATTGCATGAAGATTAACTAACATTAAATAGCACTAATATTACATTATGCTGCAGTTACACAATTAATAGCAGCATATATACACATACATATGCACGCTTGCATGTAAAATTCATTCATGGGGTGGGGGGTTGGAATCATCGATCCCCACCAATGTCAAGAGCAAACATATGGCTGCAGCCCTCCTGGAACAGAGTTTGACACTATAACTGATCATCAGTGCTGGGCATGTTTGGGCCCATCAGTGTTGGGCATGGGAGTAATTAGTTACTACTCACAAATAGGAACAGAGTTACATAATTAGAAAAGTAATTACAGGCAAAAGCTGCCGTCGCACTGGGGTTTTCCTCCCATAGACTTCCATTCATACGCACGCGAATGCATCAGACCGGAAATGCAGGGCCATGCGTTAGGTTTCACAGGTTGCTGCGGTGCAAAGCTCGAGCTTAGTGAACTCTGACCTGCAAAGTCGCATCACTTGACAGCATGAGACCAACAGAGGATCAAAACATGACCTCTCTGGACAGAAATTTAAAACATGGAGCAATCGCTCGCTTTTTTTTTTAATGTCTAATCTAGTTCATTGGTTCAGTATTTTCACCAAGTACCACCTTAGAAAAAAATTCTCTCCAAGCACCACTATAAATCAACAGTATTGAACTTGCATATTAATTCAACGAAATTATATTCCATACAAAACATGAAGCCGATCAGTGGGTTTTTGTCACGCGACTCGCAGTGCGGCATCCTGAAAAAGTTAACGTTTTTAACTGCGGATTATGGAATCAGTTTAGTCTCAAAAGAAATTCACGCAAAAGACACGATGTACACATGCGTAGCCAAATTCACGTGCATAAAACGAGATTCACGTGCGTAAAATATTTATTTATATTCACAAAAAAAATTCACTCAAAATAAATACATTTTCATAAAATACGTTTCACAAATGCAAAACACCATTTGCAAATGTATACGAGTGTACAAAAAGTTTTGAATGTTTAAAACTTGCGAGTTCATCCTGAATGAGTGTGCAAATCCTCTCACGTACGACTCCCCCTGGATACGCGTGTGTGTGTTATTGAGACTTTCCTGCCAGAGGCAGGGTAACTCGTACCTTTCAGCCAATCAGATGAGAGCTGTAGTCAATGACACCCACTCTGCGCTTCATTTGCGCAGACTGTTTCTCTCCAGCATGGCGAACGGAGAAAACAGCAGCAGTTGCACTGTTCTTCATTTATTTGACCATAGCCTCATTTTTTATCCATTATTTTGCCGCAGCTCCGCTCTTCTTATTTATTGTCTCGCAGCCTCATGAGCAGAATGTAGCGGCAAAATGATGGGGAAAAAAAAAAAAAAAAAGTAACATAAAAGTCTAGTGTATGGTATATTACATACAAATACTTCAAGCCCATTTTTTGATGAAAAATCATTCCGGTAATGCAAGCACTGCAGTACCATTGTGGTCTAGCGGTCAGTGCGTAACGTTATCAAGCTGTCGACCCGTGTTCGATCCTCACCAGAGATTAACTTTTTTTTTTTTTTTCATTTTTATTGTTAAGACATATAAAACTGTAAGGTTGTTGAACATTTAAAGTTCTAAAGCAGCTGTTTTCTTTAAAAAGACTTAGTGTAATTAGAAACTGAATTGGAAATGACCTTATTTTAATATAGTCAGTCGTAAACTGAGGTGGGCCGGTCAAAGGCTTGAAACTCCAGGGCTGAAAAGGAGTCCCACTCCGGCCCTGATTTTATCCAATGAAAAATATTCTGCAAAGTCTCTATAGACTTAAAAAACTTAAGTCACAATATTGTGTTAAGTCAAAAACTTAACACAATAATGGATAAAGAGTGAGGCTATGGTCAAATAATTAAATGAAAAAAAGTGCGACTGCTGTTTTCTCCGTTCGCCATGCTGGAGAGAAACAGTCTGCGCAAATGAAGCGCAGAGTGGGTGTCATTGACTACAGCTCTCCTCTGATTGGCTGAAAGGTACGAGTTACCCTGCCTCTGGCAGGAAAGTCTCAATAATACACACACACGTATCCAGGGGCAGTTGTACGTGAAAGAGGATTTGCACACTCATTCAGGATGAACTCACAAGTTTTAAACATTCAAAACTTTTTGTACACTTATACATTTGCAAATGGTGTTTTGCATTTGTGAAACGTATTTTATGAAAATGTACTTTTATTTTGTGCATGTGAAAATTTGTGAATATAAATATTTTACGCACGTGAATTTGGTTTTATGCATGTGAATTTGGCTACGCATGTGTACATCGTGTCTTTTGCATGAATTTCTTTTGAGACTAAACTGGTTCCATAGGGGAGGCCTGGAATATGCAAACATGTCGTGCTGCAGTTCTTACTCATTTTGCTAGCCTGAGGGTTAAATTTTGGCACTCAAGTGACCGAGATGTAACAAGAGAATACGTTTTTTTCAAAATATGTGATCGATTAGACTCGGATTTTATAAATAAAACTGAAATAATTCATGATTTTTGGTGCGGACAGGTACCAATTGATCTGTAGACCGGTGCTGGTCTGTGGCCCCGGGGGTTGGGGACCACTGCTCTAGCACATATCTGCTCTGCAAGCACTGCACACCTCTTTCTCTAGTTCTGCGCCAATTGAATTGATTTTTAGCAGCTGATGACGCGATGCACTGAAGGAAACATTTTTAAAACGTCGCTTTGATCATAAGTTTTAGAGAACAGCCAATGCTGACCACAGTATGCATTAACGGATTAAAATTGTATTCATTTTTTCTTTCATTACTCAGTGATTCCTCCGCCTACTACTAGAAGCGCGCATACCACTAGTGGTACACGTACCACAGTTTGAGAACCACTGATTTAGTTTGATCCCGGCCCTTTTCGCAGCACCGTATGACAATTTCGCACACACAAACTCTAGTGTAAACAAGCTTGACTACTGCTGTTACTCTGGCACATCTCTTCCAACTGGACCACGGACAGCCAACTGAACCATGCCTGGGCACAAGTCGGAGCTCACAATTGTCAAACCAACCGAAAAATGGGGGTCAAACATGCCTGCGCACAAATTGCATAACCTAGCGAGTACACCTTACTAAACGCATGTGAACTGACCCGGTGTGGAGCGCGCTCTGTGCAGTCGTCCGTCCAGACCGATAGTCGTTTGCCCTCTGAGCAGCGTCTGATGTGCTGCAGAAACACTCGTCTGATCGGATTCAACCACATCTGACTGCTTCTCCTCGCCCTCCGCCTTCCAGATCCGGCCCATCACTGCCTTCGTCCCGTTGAACAGCAGACTCTTCGTCTTCTCTGATGGAGTGCACAAAACACACTCAGCAACACTAATACTGAACAATATGAATATAAACTGCATTAGTGTGTGCTTGTGTGTGTGTATATATACACGTTTGACCATAAATCTCCTGTTGGTATTGTTTTGGTTGCAAGAAAGCATCTGGGTGTCGAAAGATGTGCTAAAAGAGTGTATTGTGTATTGTGTTAAGAGTGTGTCGAAAGTGTCTGTTCAGAAAGTGTGTGCTGAAAGTGTGCATTGGCGTGTTCAAAAAGTGTTTGTTGAAAGTGTGTGTGTGTGCTGAAAGTGTGCATCTGTGTTTAATGCGTGTGCTGAAAGGGTGTTTGTATCAAGTGTGCATTGGTGTGTCAAGTGTGTGTGCTGAAAGTGCGTCTGCATTTAATGTGTTTGTGTATTAAGTGTGCATTGGTGTGTGTCAAAAGTGTGTGTTTAGAAAGTGTCTGTTAATTGCGTGTGTGCTGAAAGTGTGCTTTGGCGCATGTCGAAAGTGTGTGTGTGTTTTGAAAGTGTGTGTGCTGAAAGTGCGTCTGCATTTAATGTGTTTGTGTATTAAGTGTGCATTGGTGTGTGTCAAAAGTGTGTGTTTAGAAAGTGTCTGTTAATTGCGTGTGTGCTGAAAGTGTGCTTTGGCGCATGTCGAAAGTGTGTGTGTGTTTTGAAAGTGTGTGTGCTGAAAGTGCGTCTGCATTTAATGTGTTTGTGTATTAAGTGTGCATTGGTGTGTGTCAAAAGTGTGTGTTTAGAAAGTGTCTGTTAATTGCGTGTGTGCTGAAAGTGTGCTTTGGCGCATGTCGAAAGTGTGTGTGTGTTTTGAAAGTGTGTGTGCTGAAAGTGTGCATCTGTGTTGAATGTGCTTGTGAAATAAGTGTGCATTGGTGTGTCGAAAGTGTCCGTGTTCAGAAAGTGTCTGTTAATTGTGTGTGTGCTGAAAGTGTGCATTGGCGTATGTCGAAAGTGTGTGTGTGTGTGTTCAGAAAGTGTGTGCTGAAAGTGTGCATCTGCGTTTAATGTGTGTATTAAGTGTGCATTGGTGTGTGTCGAAAGTGTCTGTGTTTAGCAAGTGTCTGTTAATTGTGTGTGTGCTGGAAGTGTGCATTGGCATGTGTCGAAAGTGTGTGTGTGTTTTGAAAGTGTGTGCTGAAAGTGTGCATCTGCATTTAATGTGTTTGTGTATTAAGTGTGCATTGGTGTGTGTCAAGTGTCTGTGTTTAGAAAGTGTCTGTTAATTGTGTGTGCGCTGAAAGTGTGTGTGTGTTTTGAAAGTGTGTGTGCTCAAAGTGTGCATCTGTGTTGAATGCGTTTGTGTATTAAGTGTGCATTGGTGTGTGTCGAAAGTGTCCGTGTTTAGAAAGTGTCTGGTGAATGTTTGTGCTGAAAGGGTGTTTGTGTATCAAGTGCGCATCGGTGTGTGTTCAGAAAGTGTGTGTATTAAATGTGTGCTAAGCGTTTGTGTCTGCTCAGAAAGCAGGTGTTGAATGTGTGTGTACATTGCATATCAGTGTCAAAGTGTCTGTGCACTGGAATTGTGTATATTGCGCGAGTTTGTGTTGCAAGTGTGCGTCTGTGCTGAAAGTGTATGCATGTGTATTGTGTCGTAAGTACCTTTGTGCCAAGTGTGTGTTTGTGCTGCGGTGTATTATATTTGCACATTTGCTCATTGTTAAAGTGACAGCGAACAGCGAATATGCTAATATAACGTCAACTTTACACTAATATATGCGTTTCTGACCGTAAAACTAGCAAGTGTGCATCTTTGTGCTGAACGTGTGTGTGTGTGTGTGTGTGTGTGTGTGTGTGTGTATGTGTGCTGTAAAAGTGTGTGTGTCTTACCGTAGATCTCCTGTCGGTAGCGGAGCCCGAACACGCCGCAGGTGCTCATCTCTTTCTGGCCCACATGAACTTTATACTGCGAGGAGAAACTCTCGCTGAACGGGTAAGAGCGCTTGGGCATCTTAAAAACACCTGAGATAAAACACGAACACGCACCTGGGGCGGAGGACACGCAGAAACACACCGGAAAACCCGCGAAACAAACTGAGATAAACAACACGAGTTCGCGCTTTAAGGATTCCGCTTCTTCTTCGTCTGCTTCAGCCGCGCGCAGACACGAGCACGCGCTTCTGACACCTGCTGCCCAGAAGAGGAATCACAGCAACTGCAGTCGTCTCGGAGCTGTATGCTCAGCTGTTTACATTTTACAACTATCTGGCGAATTTAGTGATTTGTGCAGTGCAATCTGAGTTGCAGCCAATGCTTTTCAATGCGCTCACCTTTTTTATTTATTTATTTTTTTATTTATTAAAGCGTTCAACAAGAATACAAAAAAAAAATACAGAAAAGGTATAAACCTTTAACAACAAGGGTAGAAAACAGAACAAAACAAAATGACAAACTAAAGAATATGCCAGGGGGAATATAAATTACAAAAAGCACTTTAAATTTAAAGCAAGGTCACAGTGATGTTTACAAGATCACATACAATACAGTCATCTATTATAAAAAAGAGAGAATATTGTAAGATTCACATAGTGTTACGGATTTTAAAGCTTTAACATTGCTGGAGGTAGAGATTGTATTTAAATAATATTTCAAATCTTTACAAAAAATAAGAAAAAGGGGCTTTACAGACAAAAATTTGCATTTATGTATAAAACAATTTGCTAGTAAAATAAACAGATTTATTAGAAAATATTTATCTTTAACTTTATCAACATGATAAAAACCAAATAAAACATCCTTGTATGACAAAGAAAAATTATATAAAAGAGATACACGTATAAATAATCAATGCGCTCACCTAACCCTTACCCTATCCCTTACAGTGACGACACTAGCTCCATTGAGTGAGTTGTGACTGGCGTTGCATCACTGAGAAATGCATCAAGGCTGCATCCAGATACTACTGGAGTTGGGGGCCTTATGGGATATGCACCCTTTGGTATGTTTTCTTTTGTGTTGTTTATTTATTTAGCTCTTTTTATATCACTCAGTCTTTTCTATATTAAAGTAAAAAATAACAACTAAAAATCATCAATAAACTGAATTTTCATCTGATTTAACTGCTGGAAGGCTCCATCATTGGATGTGGGGGACGCATTTGCACAGTTGTAACAAAATTATTTGTTAAAATAAAATATGTTATATACAAATTATTGGTATAATTCATACATCTAGGTATTATTTGGGGCCTTTCAAATATCCCAGGGCCCTAAGCGGCTGCTAACTCTGCGTATTGATTAAATCTGCCCCTGACAATAATAGTTAAAATAAAGATTAAATTCTTATGAAATAGAAACGCCAACTGACCCAGCCGGGGCTCGAACCAGCGACCTCCTGAGGCGATCGTGCTACCTACTGCGCCACTGTGATGCCCCATTTTATTATTAATAATATTGTGGTGGCTTAGTGGTTAGCGCTGTCCCCTCACAGCAAGAAGGCCGCTGGTTTGAGTCCAAGCTGCATCAGTTGGCATTTCTGTGTGGAGTTTGCATGTTCTCCCAGTGTTGGTGTGGGTTTCCTCCAGGTGCTCCAGTTTCCCCCACAAACACATGCGCTATAGGGGAATTGATGAACTAAATTGTCCACTGATAAGTGTGAGTGTGAGAATGATAGTGTATGTGTGTTTCCCAGTACTGGGTTGCTGCTGAAAGGACATCAGCTGTAAAACATATTCTGGAACAGTTGACGGGTCATTCCACTGTGGTGACCCCTGATGAATAAAGGGACTGAGCTGAAGGAAAATGAATGAATGAATGAATTATTATTGATTAATGATTTGACCTTCACACCCGCAGGGTTATTATTAATTCATCGTTTTCTTTTCAACTTAGTCTCTTTATTAATCAGGGGTCGCCACAGTGGAATGAACCACCAACTCATCTAGCATGTGTTTTATGCAGCGGATGTCCTTCTAGTTACAACCCAGTACTGGGAAACATCCATACACACTCATACACTGGACAGTTTAGTTCATCAATTCCCCTATAGCGCATGTGTTTGGACTTTGGGGGAAACCAGAGCACCCGGAGAAAACCCACGCCAACACCGGGAGAACATGCAAACTCCACACTGAAATGCCAACTGGCTTAGCTGAGGCTTGAACCAATGAAGTTCTTGCTGTGATGCAACATCGCTACTCACTGTGCCACGTTATTATTAGTATTGTTAATGTTCTTACTATTGCAGTTTGAATGTCACTAGGCGTACAGTTTTAATTAAATTCTTCACACATCTTTGTTTTTGTGCTACAGTATCTAAAACAACCTTTTAAACAAATTATGTTTGAATTTAGTATCTAATACACTGACATTCAGGAGATGTGAAACTTTGGGTCGAAATGAATCAATAAATAAATAAATAAATGAAAATTATTATTACTACAAAAACAATTAAATGTATTACTGAAAAAACATAATAATTGATTTAAAAATTAAATATAAATAAGTAATGCGAAGCAGTGGCGCAGTAGGTAGTGCTGTCGCCTCACAGCTAGAAGGTCGCTGGTTCGAGCCTCGGCTGGGTCATTAGGCATATCTGTGTGGAGTTTGCATGTACTCCCTGCGTTCGCATGGGTTTTCTACGGATGCTGCGGTTTCCCCCACAGTCCAAAGACATGCGTTACAGGTGAACTGTGGTGAACCCGGATTAATAAAGGGACTAAGCCGAAAAGAAAATGAATTATTACATAAATAAATATATATTGCAAATACATACAAATAACAAACTAAAATAAGGCTAAGGGGCGTCTGTGTGGTGATTTGGCCTTTGGCCTGAGTATACTTGTGAAATATGAAATGAAATATTGAATGAATAAAAAAAAAATATTTAAATAAATTAATAAAAATGGTAGCGCGGTGGCGCAGTAGGTAATGCTGTTGCCTCACATCAAGAAGATCGCTGGTTCGAGCCTCGGCTTGGTCAGTTTGCATGTTCCCCCCGTGTTGGCGTGGGTTTCCTCTGGGTGCTCCGGTTTCCCCCACAGTCCAAACACATGCGCTATAGGGTAGTTGATTGTGTGTGTGTGTGTGTGTGTGTGTGTGTAAATGAGTGTGTAAGGGTATTTCCCAGTACTAAATTGCAGCTGGAAGGGCATCCAGTGTGTAAAATCTATGCTGAAAAAGTTGGTGGTTCATTCCGCTGTGGTGACCCCTGATGAATAAAGGCACTAAGCTGAAGGAAAATTATTGAATAAAAATATATTGCAAGTACAAACAAATAACAAACTGAAAACAGTCAACATGAAACCAAAATAAAGCAAATAATAAATGAAATAATAAAGGAATGAATAAAAGAATAAATAAAAAAATGAAAAAGTACGTAAACAAATAAACAAAATTATTAGAAAAACAATCAAATGGATTGAGAAAAATTTATTGTATATATATATATGTATTTTAATTAAATATTTAAAATAAATTAAATATATTATGATATACATACAAAAAGCAGCTAAAAACGGTCAACATGTGAAACATTGGGCCAGGATAAAGCCAATAATTTATAATATATTAAATATATAAATATATATATATATAAATATAAAAAAAAAAAAAAAAAAAAAAAAATATATATATATATATATATAATAAACAAATAAACAAATAAATAAAAATTTATAATTACAAGTAGTCAAATATATTGATAAAAATAAAAAATAAATAATATAATGGATTTAATAACCAAAATATACTGTATATTGAAATACTGAACTAAAAACAGTCAAGAAGTGTGTGTTTGTGTGTGTGTGTATGGTGATATGGCTTTTACTCCTGCAAAGTTTTTACCATCAGCTCCGCCCATTCGTTTTTCTGGACGGTAAAAACACTGGAGTTCCTCTGAGATCTGATCATCTTGGCAGTGAAGAGAGAACACAGTGTTCGGCTGCGTCTATTTCTGACCGGCCGTCTAAACTAATTATATCTGACATCAGACAAAACTCACAGCCGCCGGGAACATTAATGCACATCAGTCTGGATAATCAGCTCTGTTTCAGGGGAGAGACGCTCGTTTAAAGGGACAGTTCATCAAAAACGCACACCATTTACAGCTGAAGTCAGACTTATTCACCTCCTGTGATCCTTTCCAAATATTTCCCAAATGATGTTGAACAGAGCAATGCTTTTTCCCCACAGTATTTCCTCTAATGCTTTTTCTTCTGGAGAAAGTTTGATTTGTTTCATTTACTCTAGAATAAGATCGAATGCAATGTTAGTGCGGGCCGTCAGAGGAGACAGGAGGGGGGACAAGCGTGCTTTGGCCCGGTTCAAGGCAACTGCACACAATGCGAGCACGCCCTAAGAGTGGCATATTCCTTAGAAGGAAATACACAAAAACGACAAAACTCTGTGAGATTCAGGGAGTTCAGTTTATGTGTCTCACATGAAACAACAAATGCAATAAAACATACAGAAATGCCACTTTGGGTGAAGTTGAATCCTGGAAACTCAACTCATGTATTTGTTTTTTAAAGACTGGTGTAAACACATTGAGTTTCTCTCGTAATGCCTGGACATAAACATCTCATATCAAATCAAACAGCGCTTCTTAAAGGGACAGTTCACCATTTCCTCATCATTTACTCGTGTGATTCTTTCTTCTGTTGAACACAAAACAAAATCTAATGGAGAATGTTGGAGAAAAGCAGCCACTGACTCTCATAGTAGGAACTAGTGATGGAGAAATGAAGGTTTCTGAGCATCCAAATAATGTGGTGACAAAAACATTCATTAGAACTCCTTTTTATCTAAATTAGTGCTAACTTTTTTCTCTATATAACTATGTTTTAGGGGCGGCACGGTGGCGCAATGGTTAGCACTGTCACCAGCAAGAAGGTCGCTGGTTCGAGTCCCAGCTGGGCCAGTTGGTATTGGAGTTTGCATGTTCTCCCCGTGTTGTTCTCCACTCCGGGTGCTCTGGTTTCCCCCACAGTCCAAACACATTGGGGAACTGCTGAACTAAACTGATTGTAGTGTGTGAATGAGTGTGTATGGGTGATTCCCAGTTCTAGGTTGCGGCTGTAAGAGTATCCGTTGTGTAAAACATGCCGGAATAGTTGGTTTATTCTGCTGTGGCAACCCCTGATGAATAAAGGGACTAAGCCGAAGGAAAATGAATGAATGAATGAGTTTCGAAGCATTCAAAACACCATGTGCTAGTGCCACCTGCTGGTCAAACGCTTATAAATGCAACAAAAACATCCATTAGAACTCATTTTAGCAAACATATTGCATTTTTTTTAATAAATAATTATTTTTAGGGGTGACACGGTGGCTCAGTGGTCACCTCAAAGCAAGAAGGTTGCTGGTTCGAGTCCCGGCTGGGTCAGTTGGTGTTTCTGTGTGGAGTTTGCATCTTCTCCCTGTGTTACCGTGGGTTTCCTCCGGGTGCTCTGGTGTCCCCCACAGTCCAAACACATGTGCTATAGGGAAATTGATGAACTAAACTGACCGTAGTTTGTGAGTGTGTGTGTGTATGGGTGTTTTTCAGTACTGGGTTGTGGCTGGAAGGGTATCAGTTGTGTAAAACATGCAGGAAGAATTGTAGTTCATTCCACAGTGGCTACTCCTGATGAATAAAGGGACTAGGCCAGGGATGGGCAAACTTGATCCTCGAGGGCCGGTGTCCCTGCAGAGTTTTGTTCCAACACTAGTCAAACACACCTGAACAAACTAATCAGTGTCTTCAAGATCACTTGAACTCTACAGGGAGGTCTGTTTGAATAGGGTTGGAGCTAAACTGTGCAGGACACCGGCCCTCCAGGACCAAGATTGCCCACCCCTGGACTAGGCCAAAGAAAAATAAATAAATGAATAAGTTTCGAAGCATTCAAAACACCATGTGCTAGTGACACCTGCTGGTGAAACACTTATAAATGCAACAAAAACATTTATTAGAACAGATTTTTAAATAAAAACCATTGCAAACTAAGAAAATCTAATTGAAATTGCATCACCGTAATCACCATAATGCTACTACAACGCACTAACCCATTGTGAATTTTAAATTGAAACTATAACCTACAGTACAAATACACTTAGCATATTTAATATCATTACATATTTAATTAATTTCCCTTAGCTTAAGTCTCTGATTTATCAGGGATCGCCACAGTGGAATGAACTGCCAACTAATCCAGCATATGTTTTACACAGCTGATGCTCTTCCAGTCGGAACCCAGTACTGAAAAATTTCCCGGAGGAAACCAACACCAACATGGGGAGAACATGCAAACTCCACACAGAAACGCCAACAAACCCAGCCAGAACTCAAACCAGAAACCTTCTTGCTTTGAGGTCACAGAGCTAACCACTGAGCCATCCCATGACATATTTAGTGTCTGCATAGAATATTTAAACATTTATGCGTTAGTTTTCAAGACTTATTGTTTGTTACATAATAGGCTCTACTAAACAGGTCAACAAGAGAATATTAACTCTTATTAACCATTATTCCATTTCAGATGCCTCGTTAAAACATCTTAAACTGACTTGAGATCAGGTAAAAACTATGAAGCAGTTCAGTGATTCGCCACTAGGGGACAAACTGAATGACTTTTGTGATTCATGCGGATGTTATAATATTACACAGATCGCCTCCCAGTGGAGAAACATTGAATTATCTCAATGTTTACAAACTAATGATGTAATAAAGCCTCGTTTACTGAAATGACATGACTTTATCTGATTGATACGTGCTCCGAAATCACTGATTCGAAAACAAATGATTTGTGAATGTTTCAAAGCTTCATGAAAAAAAAAAACTATGGCTGCAAATGGCTGTTTTTTTCCAGAATTTTTCATAATATCTTCACTTGTGTTTAACAAAAGAAGGAAACTCAATTAGGTTTGGGACACGTGAAGGGAGAGTAAATGCCAGAATTATGATTTTCAGTGAACTGTCCCTTTAAGGAGTCTGATGGGCAAGTGAATGGGGGTCAGCAAAAACACTGCTGCTGATCTTCAGACAGGCGTCACTGGAGGATTGTGGGTAATAATCCTAAAACATCTGGATCATACATTCTCTGGATTTGCCGACGCCGACCCATTTAACTGTGGGGGAGAAGTGAAGCAGAGTTAAAATATTTGCCGTGAAAAGAATAATGATAAATTGAAGAGATATTTGGAAGATGTTGGTCATAATAACACAAAACACAACAAAGTAATAAATACTACAATTAGTAATGAATTATAAACATAATAATTAAGAATTATTGTCAATGATTATATAATTTAATAGTAAATAATAATCAGTATTCAATATATAATCATTGGAATAAAATAAGTTATATTTAAGTAATAATAATATAGATAATATAACAGATAGAACACGATAATCTATTTTGTAAAACTGCTGTAAAGATGTATCATCTATCATGAAAAGAGCTATGCTCAAACTTTAACAGAGCTAAACTGAATTGCATTGAATTGAACTCACCTGAAGTGAATCAATCTGAACTGAGGTGCATTAAAATGAACTGAGTCGTACTGAACTGAACAAAACTGAGTTGTATTGAACTGATTTGAACAGAATTGAATCAAACTGAATTGACAAAATCTGAACTGTACTATACTGAACTGAATTTACTTATCTTTATTTAGCTGTATTGCGATGTAATGTAATGGATCTTATTATATTGAGCTAAACAGTATTGTATTGAATAGAAGTGAACTGAACTGACCTGAAGTAAACTAAACTAAACTAAACTAAACTAAACTAAACTAAACTGATCTGTATTGAAATTAATTGACCTGAAATAAACTAAACAGAAATGACTGAAACTGAATTGAACTTAACTAAAATTAATGGAACTGGACTTATATAAACTGAACTGAACTGAATTAAACTATACTATACTGAACTACATGGAACTGAATTAAGCTAAACTAAACTGAACTTTATTGAATTAAACTAAACTGAAAAGAATTAAACTGAACTGAGTCAGATTGAGTCAGTGTGCAGGACTCACTGTGAACACATGAACTAAACTAGAAATAAACAAACAGACCTAAACTAAACTGTAATTAACTGACTTGAACTGAACTAAATTGAATTGAATTAAACTGAAATTGATGGACCTGAACTTAACTAAACCTAACTGAACTGATTTTAAATGAAGCGACTTGAAGTGAACTAAACTAAATTAAACTGAAATTAATTTAATTAAACTGAACTGATCTGGATTGGACTGAATTGAACTGAACTGAATCAGACTGACAGAGTCAGTGTGCAGGACTCACTGAGAACACCAAACTAAACTAACAGAACTACTTTTGTATTGTACTGAACTGACTTGAACTGAACTAAATTTAGTTGAATTCAACTGTACTGAACTGAACTAAACTGAAATGAATTGACCTGAACTGCACTAAACTGAACTGTTTTGAACTGAAATGAATTGAATTAAGCAGTACTGAACTGAATTAAACCGAACTGAATCAGAATTCGGTGTGCAGTACTCACTGGGAACCCCGATGTGATTCTCCACGAAGCGGATGTAGTTCTGTGCTTTGGCAGGAAGATCGCCCCACTTTCTGGCTGCTGAAGTGTCTGATTTCCAGCCGGGGAACGTCTCATACTCCACCTCCACCTTCTGCAGCACCTCCAGATTGGCTAAAAACACACAGAAAATCACACACACACACAAACTGTCAAATATAGCTAAAGAAAACGCACAAATCATTTAGCTATAATTAAATATAACTATTAAAATATAATTAAAATATAATTTTTTTTAAACATTTTTAATGATTAAATTATATATATATATATATATATATTTAAATATTAATAAAAAAGAAACATATTTTTATATATTTAAAAAATTAAATATTAAAAACTAAAATATTTATTTATTAATTTATATATATTATATATAAATTAAACTTAACAAAAATAAAATTATTAAAAAACTAAAACATCATTAAAATATTAACAAATTTAAATATTTAAATTTAAAATTAAAATAGATTTAAAATATTGTTAAAAATGTAACATTTATTTATTAATAATTTTTTATAAAATTAAAATATATATATTTTTTAATTAAAGCATTCATTTGTTAACTTATACAAAAATGTAAATAAATAAAATAAAATATCTTGAAATACAACAAACAATTTAGTGAAATAATATTTAAAAAAAACTACAATTATTTTTATTTAGTGTGTTAAAATTCATCAAATTATTTATATATATATATATATATATCACATTAATAATAAGTCACATTAATAATAATAAAAAAACAACACAAAAGTGGAATAAAATGACCAAAACTTTTGCCTAAAATAAAAACACACAAATCTAGTTAAAAATATTTAGTGATAAAATCAGTAATAAAAACAACACTGGCACTTCAAAACATAAGATTACACACAATAATCAACAAGATATGTAATAAAAACTATAATACTTGAATGATAAACATTACAATTTTAAGATTTGAAGAGAATTGGGCAGCACGGTGGCTCAGTGGTTAGCACTGTGGCCTCACAGCAAGAAGGTCGCTGGTTCGAGCCACAGCTGGATCATTGTTGTTTCTGTGTGGAGTTTGCATGTTCTCCCCGTGTTGGCGTGGGTTTCCGCCGGGTACACCCATACACTCTCATTCACACACACACTCATACACTACAGCCAATTTAGTTTATTCAATTCCCCTATAGCGCATGTGTTTGGACTGTGGGGGAAACCGGAGCACTCGGAGGGGAGAACAACACGGGGAGAACATGCAAACTCCACACAAAAACACCAACTGAACTGGCCAGGACTTGAACCAGCAACCTTCTTAGTGTGAGGCTACAGTGCTAAACACTGAGCCACTGTGCCGCCAAATATCTCCATAAATGTACCTGGGAAATGTGGGATTCTTTTGCCGTTGATCTTATAAGCCACGCCCACTTTAATTTCATCCAGAACATCAAGAATGTCCAGTTTAGTCAAAGCGATGCTGTGAAAACGCAAACACACAAACAGTGCTTCACATTCACTCAGAACACAGTTTACACAGTTAAAGGGGAGCTATTATGAAAAAAATAACTTCTATAAGAGGTTTAAACCCAGTTCTGTGTCAGCAGTGTGTGAATATCTCCAACTTCTAAAGATTAACACAAATTAATTATAGTTGTTATAGTCAGACTTGATATAAACAGTCTGTAGAAACACTTTGATTGACATTCTCCCTTTGTACGTGTCATCAGAAGGGGAAAGCCCCGCCCACTAGTGCCCATCTCTCCCTCATTAGCATAAACAGCAGCCCTGAGTGAGAAGCAGCCGTCTGTCCATTAGCCTATAGAGTGTTTGAGCTGCTGAAGATAATGTCAGCATAGACTAAGAGGATTATAGATGTGGAGTTCTAGATGAAGCACAGATGAACAGCGACAGGAGTCTCCATGACAGAAGCATGAAGCACACACTCACACTGAAGCACACATGCGCACCTGACCAGCACTGACAACACAGCTAGTGCTGTTTTACATCTGACACTATGCTGACATGCAGGCATTTGTAGCTCCGCCTTCTTTTGAAAAGTGCCCAATCTCATTTGAATTTAAAGCAACAGTCACAAAAACGACTAAATTAGGATCAAAGCCTGAAAGGGTCAGTTCCAGAGAGCTTATTATTATTATTATTATTATTATTATTATTATTATTATTATTATTAGCGTGCTATTTAGTGCTGAAACTTCATTAAAAAGTGGAATAATAGGTTAGTTTAATTTATTTATAAACATTAGTGTTACTTCACTTGCATATTGTTGATAATAATGCATGCATTGTGCTCGTAAATACATCATTTAGTAAATCTTAGCATGTATTTCACTCCAAATATGTTTTTCTACAGGATAAATACGTACGCTGTGAATCCATTAATCATGTGCGCATATTTAAGAATAACCAAATCCAGCCAACCACAGCGTCTCTTTCTGCCTGTGGTCACGCCCACCTCATGACCTCTGGTCTGCAGCAGTTCACCAACAGCCTATGAGGAGACACATTGATTATTAATATTCATCTTTTTAACAAAGTTTTTTTTTGTGTTCTCAAGTGTTCATTTAGGAGAAAATGTTTAGGAAAAGATGACACTTTAAACATAATTGTAAATATAATTACGTTACATTAGCTATGAATTAGCATCTCTGATTAAAAATGACATTCATTGTATTAGTCACATGATCAGATTTAAATATTTTTGTAAATACATCTAATAATATATTACATTAATGGTAACACTTTATAATAAGTCAATTTTGTTTAGCTACATTAGTGAACATGAAGTAACAACTAGAAATATAGAAATATTTAAATTACAACCATCAATAAATAATACTTAAATGTAAAAAAGGAAACTACCTCAAAACTCACGTGTTAGTTATTTTTATTCATTTTAATAATTGCTTCTGCACAAAACTAATAAACGCTGATTGAATAACAAAAAATAAACTAAATTAAATTCTCAAAATATAAGAAATAACAGTCAAAAACAAACTAAATAAAAATTTTAAATCAATTGTAAATTCCCAATATAAATGTACAGCTAAATTAACATTAAAAACATAAGCTTTACAATTATATTGGGAATTTAAAATGTATTTATTTTTATTTATTTTATTTTTGTTTTATGATAAGATTGTATTATTCTTTATTATTATATAGCTGTTATTTTAAAATGCCGCTTTGGCAAATAAATATTATTTAATTTCAAACAACAAATGTTCTTACTTGGAAACTAGCTGAAACAAAGTAAGCAGATTTTATTTGGAAGTTTTTTAATGGCTTTAGTTTTAATTAACTATTACAACTAGGGATGCACCGCTAAAATTTTTGACAGATAACGTTAACCGATATATGGAATTCTTGACCAATAATGATAATATATATATATATATATATATATATATATGTATATATATATATATATATATATATATATATGGAATTTTTGACCGATAATGATAACTGATATATGGAATTTTAGACCAACAACAGTAACTGATATATGGAATTCTTGACCAATAATGATAACTGATATATAGAATTTTCGACTGATAACGATAACCGATATACAGAATTTTTGACCAATAACAATAATTGGCAAATAAAATACAGACTGATAACAATGAATGGATTGGAATTTTTGACTGATAACAATAACCAATATATGGAATTTTTCACTGATAATAATAACTGATATATGAAATTTTGTATTGATAATGATAACCAATATAAATTGAATTTTTGACTGATATTGATAACCGATATATGGAATTTTTGACTGATAACGATAGCCAATATATGGAATTTTTGATCAATAATGAAAACCAATATAAATGGAATTTTTGACTTATAATGATAACCGATATATGGAATTGTTGATAGATAACAATAACCGATATATGCAGTTTTGACATAACGATAACCGATATATGAATTTCTGACCAATAACGATAACCGATATATGACATTTTTGACCAATAACCATAACTGGTATATGAAATTTTTGACCGATAATAATAACTGATATAGAACTTTTGAACAATAACAGTAATTAATATTTGAAATATTTCACTGATATTGATAACAGATATATGGAATTTCTTACCAATAACAATAACTGACTAATGGAATTTTTGACTGATAACAGTAACCAAAATATGCATTTTTATATGGAATTTTTTATTAATAGTGATAACCGAGATATATATATATGTAATTTTTGATGATAATAATAACCAATATATGGAATTGTTGATTGATAGCAATAACTGATATATGAATTTTTGACATAAAGACAACCAATGTATGAATATTTGACCAATAACGATAACCAATATATTGACTTTTTGACTGATAGTGATAACTGACATATGGAATTTTTGACTGATAACAGTAATTAATATTTGGAATTTTGACTAATAATGATATCCAATAAATAGCACTTTTGATTGATAACATTAACCGATATATGGAATCTTTTATTGATAACAATATCCGATTTATGAAATTTGACCAATAAAGATAACCGATTTGTGGAATTTTTGACTGATAAAGACAACCAATATGTGACTTTTTTCACGGATAATGATAACAAATATATGAAATTTTGAATGATAACCTATAACTCTTTCAATTTGAAGTCCGATAACCAATATATTCGCTAAAATATATAATTTTTTTCTGCATGATTACAAAAACAAAAAGCAAACATATAAAGTGAACATCTGATTTTATTTTAAAATCTTAACTTTAGAAAAGCTTGAACTGATTTCTGAACATAATCAACTATTCTTTTCTGTAGCTAACTTTCTTTTATATAGAATAATGCATAAATAAACCAACCAATTGATCATTAACCAATATCAAAATACCAGTAAAAAAAGTGGTAGGCAGCAAATGTGAAGTGTGGGCAACATGTGAAGTGAAAATAATACATAATACACTGTGCATCCCTAATTATAACCCAACTGCAAGTAGCTGAAAATGCAGTTAGTCTCAGAGTCTGCATCATTGATTACTTTCCAGTATCCGTATCTGTATTGTATGGAGTACAATAATAATAAAGGGTGTTTGTCCTACATTGAGTTGTTCTGTAGGAAAGGCCCCGATCCCAACTCTAGTAGTGTAGGCCTTTGACACTCCATACACATCGCCGATGTTTGCAGGAGGGATGCCGAGACCCGTACACACACCGCCAACAGTGCAGTTAGACGACGTCACAAAAGGATACGTTCCTACAAAGGTGAAAAACAAGCCTTTAAGATATACATGAAATCAAAACTGTGGTGAATTTTGGTGAACAATTCATCTGTGCATGTCATTAAGAACAAAAAAACTTAACCTTTAATTGAAATCTGAAAATGCACTTCCTGTTAGTTCTCAGTTACATTCTCAGATTAGGTCTGTTTGAGGTACTGGGCGTGGTTAAGTATGTTAGCCACGCCCAGTACCTCAAACAGACCTAATCTGAGAATCCTCCAGCTGTCAGTTTTGACAGCAGACAGAAATGTTGAGCCGGAGAAGTCTGTTAGGTTGTAATTACTCTCCCCAAACTCCTTTTCCCCATCCTTCTAAATGAAACGCCTACTTTACTACATCCAATCAGCTCGCAGTAGAAAAAACAAGCCACACCCACTGTTTAATCATTTAATATTCCGTTTCTGTGGGAACTGCATCACAAAGTAAAAAAAAACAGTCACAGCTTCCGGCTCATGCGGACTTTAAAATGACGTAGTAGCAGCATTATGGTATTTGAGGCCGAAAAACATTGCAAAATCTCTATATAAATGTATATATTATAAACTAATGAGCAATTGTTTCACACAATATTCTGGTATTATGCAAGCTGAATCCAAATAGCAAAAATCTAGAGCGAAAAGTCATCCCATAGATGAGCAGTTAGAAACGCTAAACAGCTCTTACATTCACACACAGCTGCATTAAACTCTACATCAGGGGTGTCAAACGTAAAGCCCGTAGGCTGGATCAGGCCTGCAAACGAGTTTAATGCGGCCCGCAAGATAATTGTGTGATTTGCAATTTTACAATTAAATATACTGCTGTTCCAATTGTGCCCTGGATGGCGCAATAGCAAACTGTTAATTTTATCCGATCCAGTAGCCTGAATCAGTGTCAGTTTGACAGGCATCTCAGAGAGAAAGACCTCATCCATGCCCTGTCATACCACATCAGTGCTTCCCACACATAGGGCCCTATCATACACCCGGCGCAGTGTGGCGCAAGGCTCGACGCAATAGTTGTTTGTTAGTTTCAGCTTGCCGCAAGAGTTGTTTTGATGTTTTGCAGCACGCTGTTTAAATAGCAAATGCATTAGCGCTCATTTGTGCGCCCATAGGCGTTCTGGTCTGAAAAGGAGGGTGTTCTGAGGCGCACTGCTGGTGCGTTGCTATTTTGAGAAACTAAAATATATTTTTCAATAGACCAAAACAAACCCGGTCTATTGTCCAGCGCAGAGTTGCGCCTCGCTTACACATTGCGTAATACTGTAGCGTACAGTCCACAGATAAAATTACTTATTGATTTTATCACGATCTGGGTCCATTTTGACAGGACGGTTTTACGAATCCTGGCTCCACAAAGTCTGGGTACCTCCGCTAGACTTATCTCTTCAGTGTCCCTGGATTACTGAGTCTGTCGCTTTAAAGACATTCCTGCCCAAATACACACACACACACACACACACACACACACACACACACACACACACACACACAAGGCTGAAAGAAAATGAACTCATCAAATCCTGAACCAGCACAAAACCAATGTGTTATGTTTTGTAAACTTTGTATCTTTTTTCTGACCTTTCTTACCTGTGTAACCTCTCTTATAACCTGTATGCATGTTCCCTTTAGGCCTTTGTAAAGAATAAATATTGTAAGGATATGAAAAATTATGTTGATGTATTTTAAACCCCCCATGTTTGGTACCGATGGGTTTCTGCTGACATCTTAAAACACATGATGCATAGAGCAAGACCATAACTCGCATTGCTTTATTCATTAAAGCCCTGTATTAAATGCCTGTCCGCATGCTTTAGGCGGACACTCAAATTTGCATACGAGCAGCCTCGAGGCAAAGGAAGGGTTCCCGCTCGAACTTTGTACTGAAACCATTGGTCAGAATGCTGAACGGGTTGTCACGTGACCCGCAGGTATAACCAGACCTTTTGCCAAACATCTGGGCAGAAAGAAAAGCGTCCGAACAAAGAACATCAAAGAGGTGGCCTTCGGCCCACGCGGTTTTCCTACGCCGCATGGACTTTCCCGCCACGTTTTCTTTATTTTCCGGCAAAGGTAAACTCAGTTTAAAGTTTGCGATCGTGTTCGTCAGAACTGCATTACAGACTCCACGCATCAAGAAGGACATCAAAAGGAGTTTTCATCACGACGGAAGAGAGACGCATAAGAGAGACCTCCAGACATGAACGATCAGGTGATTTTAGTTATGCGATTAAGCATTTTTATAGTCTCGGTGGTCCTTAATGGTGCGTGTGGAACTGAAAGTTTTGTCACTCTTTTACCTGAAATCTCTATTTCCTCGCTTTACTATTTCTCTTTGTTGTTTGTCGTTCTATAGACCCGATATCTCCACGTGGTTTACCTTTTGTTCTGTGTTTAATGTATGTTTGTGCGTTTGTTTGTTCGTTACGTCTGACTAGTCAATAAATTCCATTATAATCAAATGAATTGTATTGTTTGCCTCACGAGAAAATGTCACTGAAATACAGATTCCCCTGCCTAGCTATTATAAGTTGTTTAATACTTTTGAATGATTAATCTACTTCACAAGAAGTAGCAATTAATTTCCCTTTTTCTAAATGAATAGATTACAGTGTCGGAAGAGCGGCGGTTCTGCTTGTGTTTGTTTGGTCAAATTAGCAAATTGATCCGGAATATTAATGATTAATAATAATTCGTTATTGTTGATAATTAATATTCATAATCTGGGAGTCCGCTCTGTCACGCGAGCATGATCATATACAATCATATGCTTGTTTGACCAAACTGACTGAAGCTTAAGCCGGAATATTAATAATTAAGAATAAACCGTTATTGTTGATTATTAATATTCATAAAATGAGCTAATTTCATGCTACAATACGCACAAAATGTAGAGCAATACGCAAATATCTTTACATATGAAAAAGAATTAAAATATTAAGGATATATATAGGATATAATAAGAATAGATATAGGATATATATAAAGAATTAAAATATTACAAAACATATTATTTTCAAGCCTACATGAACATAAAAACTTAAATTAAAATTAAATTAAAAAATAAAAATTAAATTAAAAAATAATTAATTTAAAATAAATTTAAAAAATTCTAATTTAAAAACCACTGCCTTCATGCTTTCTCAGTTCAGACTTCAGGATTTTTCAGTTTCATATTCATAACGATTAGCTTTTGTATAATGTTATCATCATTAGCAGTATTATTTGTTATATGCATATTTGTATTTGTTTTATTAAAAACAAGATTAGATTTGTCCACCTGTCAGGTTTTAGACCATATAGGGCACAGCATGTGTTTTAGGATATAACTCAGGTTTTTGAGCACACTTCATTATTATTATTCATTTATTCGTTTGCTGGAAATTAGAACTGAATTTAGAAATAGTTTTGAAACAAATCTTAGCGCTTAACAAACGTAATTAATTATTTATAGACTAATTGATGTCTGTGCGTAAAGGTTTCCCTATCCAGGAGAGCGAAAGTGAAAGTAAATATTGAGAGGCCTTATCTGTCATTCACATGCTGCAGATGCTCTGTTTAACTGTTTTCTCTCTAGTGAAATGCTCACGGGTGTATGATAGGGCCCTTTATGTTTTGTCAGTTTAGCGGCTATTTCGGTTGTATGAAAATATACCATTTAAAAAAGGAGGCATGGTACCCAACCACACCCATAACGCATCCCCCACCCCTCCTCCATTTTTTGGACCAGTCCGGCCCACTTGAGAACAGATTTTACTCCATGTGGCCCCTGAGCTAAAATGAGTTTGACACCCCTGCTCTACATGAAAGGTCATTTCTAAAATAACATAATGAGACTTAAATTAAATCTGCCATCCTGCAAGTTCACAATCACAAAGTGGCCACAGCATGGACTGTACAGTTAAAGTTATGATTATTAGCTGTCATGTGATTTTTTTGCTTATTAAAATATTTCCAAAATGATGTTGATCAAATTCAGGAATTTTTCACAGTATTACCTATAACATTTCTTTTTCTGGAGAAAGCTTATTTTTTTAAAGTCATTTTAAGGTCAATATTATTAGACATCTTCAGCAATATTAGTTTTAGATAGTCAACAGAACAAACCACTGTTATACAATGACTTGCCTAATTACCCTAACTTTACCCTAATTAACCTAGTTAAGCCTTTAAATGTCACTTTAAGCTGTATAGAAGTGTCTTGAAGAATATCTAGTCTAATATTATTTACTGTCATCATGACAAAGAGAAAATAAATCTATTATTAGAGATGAGTTATTAACACTATTATGATTAGAAATGTGTTGAAAAAATCATCTCTCTGTTAAACAGAAATTGGGAAAAAATGTATACAGGAGGTTAAAAATTCAGGACAGCTAATAACTCTGACCTCAACTCTATGTCCTTACCAAAGTCAATGTCAAGCAGGGCGGCGTTGGCTCCCTCCACCAGAATTTTCTTCTGCGGCCCATGAATTGCATCATACATGAAATAGACACCGTCTCTGACCAGTGGTCTTATCCTCTCAGCGTATTCCTGTAGATAAACAGACAGAGGTGGTGGATTACTAATAAACTGTAATCAGCTACAGACTACACATTTCACCACAAATGATGTAGTCAGAAAATATTAATTAAATATGTAGTGGATTACAAATTTGTGGTAATGTAATCTGAATTACATTTAGATTACTTTTGTGCTAACTAATCACTGACTAATTATAAATTACTAGACAATTTGTAGTCAGTAATATAATATCTTAAGCAGGAAGCACACCAGAAGCGCAGGGCCATGCAGCGTCATGCAGTGCCATGCATTTTAGAATTCTAAACATAGGTTTCTATCAGGATACACACACCGGCGCCGCAAGTCAGCGGCTGTCGGCGGCGCCCGGCGACGGCTCAGGACGCAGTTCATTTTTCAGCCGCGCCACAGAGCGCCATCTGATTAGTTTCATGTTAAATATCATTCGAACGTGCGCGTCTGGTGTGTGATACTTAAAACTGCCATGTACGCGCCGTGTCGCGGCGCCGAGCGGCGCTTCTGGTGTGCGACCTGCTTTAGAATATACATTTAAAGTGATGTAATCTGACTACTTTTGGATTACTTTTAGATTACTTTTGTGCTAGCCAATCAGTTACTAATTACAAGTTACATGGAAAAATTTGTATTAAGGAACATAATCTCTTCTATTATCAAATTTATGGTAATGTGTCACAATTATTGGATTACATTTAGATTACTTTTGTGCTAAAAAGTTACTAATTACAAGTTACATGACAACATCTGTAGTCAGTAATAAAATCTGTTAGATTATACATTTATGGTAATCTGACTACTTTTGGATTAATTTTAGATTACTTTTGTGCTAACTAATCAGTTACTAACTACAAATTACATAACAAAATCTGTAGTCAGAAATATAACTTTTTAGATTATAAAATTTATAGATATGTAATCTGACTACTTTTGGATTATTTTTAGATTACTTTTGTGCTAATTAATCAGTTACTAACTACAAATTACACGACAAAATCTGTAGTCAGTAATATAACTTGTATTATAAAATTTAAAGAAATGTAATCTGACTACTTTTGGATTACTTTTAGATTACTTTTGTGCTAATTAATCAGTTACTAACTACAAATTACATGACAAAATCTGTAGTCAGTAATATAACTTATATTATAAAATTTAAAGAAATGTAATCTGACTACTTTTGGATTACTTTTAGATTACTTTTGTGCTAATTAATCAGTTACTAACTACAAATTACATGACAAAATCTGTAGTCAGTAATATAACCTATATTATAAAATTTAAAGAAATGTAATCTGACTACTTTTGGATTACTTTTAGATTACTTTTGTGCTAATCAATCAGTTACTAACTACAAATTACATGACAAAATCTGTAGTCAGTAATATAACCTATATTATAAAATTTAAAGAAATGTAATCTGACTACTTTTGGATTACTTTTAGATTACTTTTGTGCTAATTAATCAGTTACTAACTACAAATTACATGACAAAATCTGTAGTCAGTAATATAACTTGTATTATAAAATTTAAAGAAATGTAATCTGACTACTTTTGGATTACTTTTAGATTACTTTTGTGCTAACCAATCAGTTTCTTAATACAAATTACATGGCAAAATTTGTAGTCAGTAATATAACTTGTATTATAAAATGTAAAGAAATGTAATCTGACTACTTTTGGATTACTTTTAGATTACTTTTGTGCTAACCAATCAGTTACTTAATACAAATTACATGGCAAAATTTGAAGTCAGTAATCTCTTAGATTATTAATTTATGGACTACTTTTGAATTACAATTAGATTACATTTGTGCAAACTAATCAGTTACTAATTACAGATTACATGACAAAATGTGTAGTTAGTAATATAATCTCTTAGATTACACATATATGTTAACGTAATCAGACAATTTATAGATTACATTTAGATAACTTTTTTGCTAACCCTTTTTGGCATCACATATATTGAAGAAGGATCATTTTGTATTTAATATCAAAATTAATATCCTATTTAATATCAGTCCCAACAGCTTCTTTTTAAAGTACAATGTAGGCGAGTCAATACTTCACAATACTCACACTAATATACCTCACAGTTAGTGTTTGCTGATAGGAATACTCACTTTTACTTTAAATTAAGAGCATTTAGAAAACATTTAGCGACTAATATTGAAAAATGTGAAACTGACAACAATATCACAATATCACTGTGACATCAGATATATATATATATATATATATATATATATATATATATATATATATTCAAGTGCAGATGACAGAATAGATGAATGACATTAAACAGCAGCAACATTGCAAATGTGAAGAATCGTGACCGTATACAAGCAGTAATAAATAAGTTTATTATTAAAAAAATGTAATGGTTTTACTGACCTTTAGCTTCTTAAGCTCGCTCTCCACGTCCACTTTCAGAGTAGGGTACATGGACTGGTACTGCTGGACCAGGTTCTTCACCCTTCAGGAGACAGTAATGAACACTTCTGAACTACTGCACTCATGTATGCTTGTTTTTCAGCATTTACAGAGGATCTACCTTGTGGAAAACTCATTGAAATCAGCCATCAGGTCACAAATGCGAAGGCCAGTGCGAGACGCTTTACAGGCGTATGTGGGTCCGATGCCTTTCTTAGTTGTTCCTATGCTGTGAATAAATACACACAATTAATATCATCACTAACAAAAAACAAAAACAAAAAAAACAAAAAAACTGGCCAAGTCTGAAATAAAAGTTGTTTTTTTTACATAATATATGTGTATTGTTTATGTTTATTATGTATATACAAATACACACATGCATGCATATATTTTAGAAAAAGTTTAATTATATTTACATATAAAATATATATGCATATGACACAAATATTATAGAAATTTATCAATCTATGTGGCAAAAAAGTTCTGTTTTGTAAGTATGTGTTCGTATCCCATATACATATTAATTATATAAAATACACACGCACGCACGCACGCACGCACGCACGCACGCACGCACGCACGCACGCACGCACGCACGCACGCACGCACGCACGCACGCACGCACACACACACACACACACACACACACACACACACACAGGTATTATGCCAAAACAAACCTTTTATTTGGATGCTGTTATGTTAATCGCGTTTCATCTTTGCTCAGTGCTAAAAATACTTGTTTTAAAGTTTGGAAAATGTTGACCATCAACATTTTCCATTTATTTACTCATTCATTCATTCATTTTCTTAGTCCCTTTATTAATCTGTGTTCGCTACAGCGGAATGAACCGCCAACTTATCCAGCATTTGTTATACGCAGCGGATGCCTTACCAGCTGCAACGCATCACTGGGAAACACCATACACTCTCATTCACAAACATACACTACAGACAATTTAGCCTACCCAATTCATTTATAGCCCGGAGGAAAACCCATGCCAACACGGGGAGAACATGCAAACTCTACACAGAAATGCCAACTGACCCAGCCGAGGCTCGAATCAGGGACCTTTTTGCTGTGAGGCGACAGCGCTACCCACTGCACCACCGCGTATCCCAATTGATTTACTAATTAATATTGTATATATATATATATATATATGATATATAATTTGACGACCCCTTGTGGTCGTTTGTTGTTGGGGTGTGGGTGTCTGTCTGTGTGCGTCTGCGTGTGTGTGTGTTGCAGGTCCAGCTGATTGTGCCGGGATTGAGAACACCTGTGTATGGCTGAAGGTGGAATCTGGTCATCGCTTATCTTTCGTCTTGGGTCGGTCTTGGACCTGAGTTGGGCTAGCAACATGCTTTCTGAATTAAGAAAATAAATATTTTTTTCTACCACAATTGCACTGGTCTTCTCCTTATTTGTGGTGACTGGTTTAGGTCTAAACAGTAATATATCTAAGCACTATGAATAATAAAAACATACAATTTGAATAAAATGCACATTAAAAGTATTTATTTGATTGAGAAGTTCACACTTTCTTACAATTTAAAGCAGAAAAACCAGCATTTGATGTCTTTAAAAACTATGTGGACACAGAGTAAATTTATATTACATATTGACAGAAGCACTAAGCCCAGCAAAGCCATGATTTACAGTAATTTAAGAACAGCTGAGAGGTGTTTTTTGGCATGACATGGACGCTGAAAAGTGTAAACACACTACAAACATGGCAGACGCATGAGACCTGGGGTGATGTGACTTTTTTTAAAGCAATAATACATTTATGCAATCATAAACATGTTTTGATAGTTATGCCAGTGATTTGATGCTTCACAAAAGTTGCAGACGCCTTTACCAATATGAAAATGCTTTTGTAAACAACCAGTTATTCTTTACACAGATTAAAAAACGAATACTATAATAAAGAAAATCTTTTCTAAATGTGGAACTAAATACACTGATTTGCATTGAAATACATGATGAATACTCTTGTCTTGACAAATGAAAGTGTAAAGCCTGCAGCTCACAACAAATGTGGAAGGTTATTGCGTGTCATATTTAACAAGCCGTTTACTGCTAATTTGATGTAATTTTGCTCACATGGATAATTGAATATTAATCAGATGATGTCATTACGCTGCTGTGCCGTCAGCCAATCGCTGCATTGCTGATCATGATTTCGAGGATGGATAGATCTGTCCTTCACAACACACGCAGCGATCTCAGATCAGTTCATCCAGACATTCTAATCTGATTCGCGAACTTGTTTGAAGAACCAAATTAGCGAGAGATCAGTTATCAAGATTAAAAGATCCAGGATCTGCCAAATAATCTTAGATCATTTAAGCAAGGTACGAAGAACGCACCCCAGGGGTCTACTATCTACTACTAACTACTACTGTCTATCGATCCTCGAAATCATGATTAGCTATGCAGCGATTGGCTGACGGCACAGCAGCGTAATGACATCATCTGATTAATATTCAATTATCCATGTGAGCAAAATTACATCAAATTAGCAGTAAACGGCTTGTTAAATATGACACGCAATAACTTTACACATTTGTTGTGAGCTGCAGGCTTTACACTTTCATGTGTCAAGTGTATTCATCATGTATTTCAATGCAAATCAGTGTATTTAGTTCTACATTTAGAAAATATTGTCTATATAATAGTAGCCGTTTTTTAATCTGTGTAAAGAATAACTGGTTGTTTACAAAAGCATTTTCATATTGGTAAAGGCATCTGCAACTTTTGTGAAGCATCAAATCACTGTCATATTAACTATCAAAACATGTTCATGACTGCATAAATGTATTATTGCTTTAAAAAAAGTCACATATTCTGCATTTCTATTATACACAATTTGTACTAAAGCAATCTAAAGCGTTCATATCAATAAGTTTTCTCTTTGCACCACCAGGTGGCAGTCTTTGTACTTTCATTTCGAGGGTGCAGATTGCATAAGTTTTATTAATATGTATAACTTTATTTATTTTATTAATAACTATAACTTTATATATATATAGTTAAAAAATATGTACCATTTTCCCAAGTGTATATAACTACTACTGTAAGAAAATATCAGAATTCATACTTTCTGTATTATCTTTGCTTGAACTGAGCCGATCTAATCCTGTTTATATGAATTGAACCTGCTCCCGATCAGGTTTGAGCTAGCAGAACTGTTGCTATGACAACAACTCTCAGATCAGCTTTGAAGAACGAAACGATCCTGCATCGTGTCAAATCGTCAATATCCAAATCCAGCTAACTGAGTAATCCACGTACGAAGAACGGACCACAAGCGTCAAGTGGAGAGGCTTTGATAAAGTTGTTTGAATGACTAAGTCAGAATTATTTGCCCCCTTTGAATTTTTATTTCTTTTTAAAATATTTTCCAAATGATGATGAACAGATTCAGGAAATGTTCACAGTATGTCTGATAATATTTTTCTTCTGAAGAAAGTCTTATTTGTTTTATTTCGGCTAGAATGAAAGCAGTTACAAATTTTTTAAAAACCATTTTAAGGTCAATATTATTAGCCGCTTCAAGCTAATTTTGTTTGCAATAGTCTACAGAACAAACCATCATTATACAATAACTTGCCTAATTACCCTAACCTGCCTAATTACCCTAATTACCCTAGTGAAGCCTTTAAATGTCACTTTAAGCTGTATAGAAGTGTCTTGAATAATATCTAGCCAAATATTATTTACTGTCATCATGACAAAGAGAAAATAAATCAGTTATTAGAGATGAGTTATTAAAACTATTATGATTAAAAATGTGCTGAAACAATCTTCCCTCTATTAAACAGAAATTGGGGAAAAAATAAAGAGGGGCGCTAATAATTCAGGGGGGCTAATAATTCTGACATTAACTGGATGTTGCACACTGGTGGTGGATGAGGAGATTCCCCCCAATGTGTAAAGCACTTTGAGTGCCCAGAAAAGTGCTTTATAAATGTAAGGAATTAATATTATTTCATGCTTTATAACATAGTATAATTAGGTGAATTGGGAAGCAGCATATGTTCAGCACAGCTTAGAATGTGGCTAAACCAATCAGAATCATCCATTTTATAACAAAAATCAACAAGCCATACACTAGCCTGTTGTTCTGTTCTTACTTTTTGCCTTCCTGAGCTTGTCTTTGAGTCTCCTGAAGTCCGTCCACGGCCTGATGAAAGTCAAACACTGACAGAGAGACATGCAATCGTGAGATCATCTCTCATTCTTCATATCTTTCACCACAGACACAAGCACGCACTATTGTTTAGGTTTGGTTATATTACCGATGTGAGCCCGATCTGAGATCACCAGTCTTTTCTCCCATCCTTTCAGCCCTTTTCATGAAAGAATAAACAATTATTCCTATGATTTAAAAAGCATTCATGTTTGCATATTAGGCTTGGGCGGTAATATGATATACTGCGGGATCTAAAAATAGCAACGGTATCAGTTTTAATACCGTTATACCGTCAATGCACTTATTTAGGAGACAAGGATTAATTACTAAATATAGTTTATTTAATGCCTAAAAAATGTGTATGCGTGGTTGTCATCACAGTTGGGCAGTATTTCCGGTTTCGATTTAACGAGAAGGGAGAGGCGGTAAATACGCATGAGGCAATTTGCTAATTGTGCAACAAAAAGGTGACTGCGAGAGATGGAAATACCTCAAGGTCGCACATAGGTTATTTAGTATCTGAATGGTTGAGGCACAAGCCAACAGTTTAGTGACTTTAGCCATTTTCACACATACAGACCTTTCCGGAAAATTGCCGGCAATTTTCCGGAAAGGTTGTATGTGTGAACAGGTCCTTTTTGAAAATACCGGTAAATTCGTTCTGGCTATTTTCCGGAAAGAGAAGTTGTAACATTACCGGTAATTTGCCGGAATGCTGCGCTGTGTGAATGCAGAAGGAAGATTACCGTAATAAGCGCATGCACGTCTAGAACGTGCTGACGTGAGACGTCTGCTTTAGCCAATCACAACAGTCAGACGCATTTACGTCCGCGCGGTTTGTGAGAATAAAAAACTTTAAATATTTTTCCAGACACATTCAGCTGCTAGAAGTTAGTCAGATCACGTTTCTATGTTCTTCTTAATGCCAACTGTGTAAATAATCATCGATGAGATGCTTATGATAAGCCGTTGTTTGTTTACCTTCAAGCTTTGCGTGTGCCTGTGAAGTGAAACAGCCTGTGAGCGCCTGCACACGCACATATTATGAACATCTCGACATGCGAAAGTGATCCTGCGAAAGTTGTTCACAATATTGATCATCCACAAAGTTTGTAATGTAGTCAAATGTTTACAAACACAAGCGCAGCCGTTTAAAGCTCATTTCTGGTTAATGATGTCAGAATTTACCAGTATTTTGGAATGGATGTGTGAATGCTCTTTTCCGGAAAATTTCCGTAACGTCCTCGCCTGTGTGAACAGCGCTTTTTTGAATATTCCGGTAAAGTCGTTCCGGAAATTTTCCGGATATTTACCGGTATCACTGTGTGAAAGGGGCTACTGTCTGAGCCTTTTGTCATAATTCTTTTTATTATGCACGGTAGGGCTGTGCGATTAATCGAACTCGAATTGCAATCGCAATTTGAAATGTTGCGATTAGCTAATCACAAGTATATTTGTATTGTTTAATTTCTCCTGCCCAGAGCAAATGCGTGACTGGGGTCTGAGTGTGATAGTCTTACTAGCCAACTGAGTGAGCACAAATGAGTGAAGAGTGTCTTGCTAAAAAAGTCAATCGGAGAGTATTGCCAGTGACACGTAATCTAGTAGCAAGCAACAGCAAAATACAATTTCAGAGTTGTGTCAGCCAAGTTAGTTTGCTGAGTGTTCTGTATTTTTTTATTTATTTATGTTTTTGGTTTCATAATAAGCCACACTATCTTCCTAATTTGAGTTCAACTAGTTTACAGAAAAATAAGGTCATTTTATTTGTGTTTACTGTTTGCTCTAGAGAAAAATGAGTGTTTCATTTATAAATATTTAAAAACTAATTTGAATAAATGTTTAAGTCAATATCTTCTTAGTTCTTTTTTTAACTAACACTCACTGCATTTTAGCAGTAAGAAGCTAAGATACTTATTGAGCTGAAGCTTGACAACAAAATTAAATTATCTATCAAATCGAAATCGCAATATCTGTCAAAAAATTTTGTTTATACAAACGCGATATTGTGTTTATACAACAGTTCGACGGCACAATCGCGTATATAAAAAATACAATCAAACACAGAGAGTCTTAAAACCCTTTTGTATTAGGAACTACTTTCTTCCGCCATTCATTTACATCTGCAGATGACGTCAGAATAAAAGTTGTTACTAATTCCCCAACATCACTGTAGAGCTCGTGTTTGAATGATTCTCTAGCGTAATGTCTAAAGTGATGACAAAACTGCTGATTTTGCTGACATTTTAAGATTATGAGGCTGAACTTCACATGAAATGCCCTCTGTCTACAGAGATGTCTCCTTACAGTATTAACTTACAGTCTATTACAGTCTACAGCATTTCTCTGTTGCAATCAGGATATCACAATAATTAAGCCGCAAAAAAGCAGCGCAATCATGACCTAATCACGACCATGAGCTAAGATACAGATTATTGAGCTGAAGCTTGACTACAAAATTAAATCACCTATCAAATTAATCGCAATATCTGTCAAAAATATTGCAATTACATATTTTCCCCAAAATGCACAGCACTAATGCACGATAATACCATATATCGAGGTAAAATAGGGAGATGGTTTGATGGTATCAAAATCTGGATACCGCCCAAGCCTATTGCATATGTAAATTATGATACATTACCTTTTTTCTCATTCTTGTCAATCTCCTCAAATAATCCTGGAAGGTGAATGACTACGCCATTACCTGCAGATTAATGAGAGTCCATTTACTTTAAGCTTTATAATCTCAGAAATTAGCATATTTCAAAAAGATGAAACCATTGCATTACTTCAACTTGCTACACCTACAATAATTAGGTTATGTGTGTTCCCTATTGGAACCCGCATAGACTTAAGATTCTCACAGGGGTTCATTCAGTATGGGGGCGTGCGAGAGATCTGCAGAGTGGATGATCAACATCAACAGCTTGAGGTATCAAGACATTTGTGCTGCCCATTACATTACAAACCACAGCAGAGGGACGATTCTCCAGCAGGATAGCGCTCCTCATACTTCAGCCTCCACATCAAAGCTCCTGAAAGCAAAGGAGGTCAAGCTGCTCTAGGGTTGGCCAGCCCAGTCACCAGATATGAACATTATTAAGCATGTCTGGGGTAAGATGAAGGAGGAGGCTTTAAAGATGAACCCAACCGATCTTGATGAACTATGGGAGTCCTGCTGAAGGCTTTTAAGATGACTTTATTAATCAGTGATTTGAGTCATGTTAGAGATGTATGGATGCAGTCCTCCAAGCTCATGATGGAGTCAGACACAATATTCATTCTGTCTCCACTGCAGCAGGACTTTATACTCTATACTGGACATTATTTCTGTTCAGTGATCAGACTTTAGTCTGAGCAGAGTCAGACATTACTGTCCTCATCAAATCATGAAGAATCAAGACATGATCAGATTTTATTGTGCTCAAATAAGCAAAATCTAGAAGCCTTTGCCTTTCATAGAGACACTATGACAGGACTTTTGTCAGGTAGTGTGTATATAATTATATGTATAATTAGTGCTATTAAATGATTGTGATTAATTGCATCCAAAATAAAAGTTTGTATTTACATACTATATATGTGTGCGCTGTATATACTCATTGGGTATAAATACAAGCACATATAAAATATAAACATATTCAACACAGAAATTCTTACATGTATATTTATATTGAATTTGTATTATATATGTATATATATATATATATATATATATATATATATATATATATATATATATACTTTATATTGGTATATTTATATTGAATTTGTATTATATATATATATATATATATATATATATATATATATATATATATATATATATAAAACATTTTCTTAAATATTTACATGCATATATAGTTGAAGTCAGAATTATTTGCCCCCTTTGAATTTTTTCTCTTTTTTAAGTATTTCCCAAATGATGTTTAACAGAGCAACAAGATTTTCACAGTATGTCTGATAATATTTTTTTCTTCTGGAGAAAGTCTTATTTGTTTTATTTTGGCTAGAATAAAAGCAGTTTTTAATTTTTTAAAATCCATTTGAAGGACAATATTATTAGCCTCTTTAAGCAAAATTTTAGTCTACAGAACAAACCATCATTATACAATGACTTGCCTAATTGCCCTAACCTGCCTAGTTAACCTAAATACCCTAGTGAAGCCTTTAAATGTCACTTTAAGCTGTATAAAAGTGTCTTAAAGAATATCTAGTCAAATATTATTAATTGTCATCATGGCAGAGATAATATAAATTAGTTATTAGAGATGAGTCATTAAAACTATTATGATTAAAAATGTGTTTAAAACAATCTGCTCTCTGTTAAACAGAAATTGGGGAAAAAATAAACAGGGGGGGCGAAAAATTTTTCAACTGTATGTTCTGGATGCAATTAATCATAATTAATATTTTGACATCACTAATATTTATTGAATATTTATATATACTACTAGTTTTATAAAAATAAATATTTTAGTTTTGTATATTTTAGTATTTTAAGTATTTATAAACACATAACATATATACATATATAATAAAATATACAACATAAATATTTACATACATATCTATAAATAATTTGTATTAAGTATACATATTTAACTTATACATTTAAATAAATAAAAAAATCTAATACAAGCATAAACTCTCACCGATGAATGATGTGCATTTGGTGTTGATTATTCCACTTGGCAGAAGATGGAAATCGTACTCTTTCTCCTCCACCACCACAGTGTGGCCGGCGTTATTTCCACCCTGAGAGACAGAAAAACACTCATCAACAAACAAACACTGTGGAAACCTTCTGCGAAGAGACACAGAAAAAGTCATGTGAAGTGATTTGAAATGTGCATAATTTTACTCGATGTTTGACGTAATCTCAACTGAAACATGAAGAGAGGGCGGGATACAGAGTAGCTCCTCCCCTTTAACAACAAATCCAATAGCATTTAGTTTTTCTCACAGCTCTGCCAGTGAGACTGTTTGTGCTTAAGTGGATCAAATGAAAAGCCAATGAATGGAAAGGGGGGCGGAGCATGTCAGATACTAGAGAGCATTTAATTGGTCAGAAGATTTGATTAGAAGCTGAAAAAATTGTTGATCCATTCAGGTGGAAGAGACAAACTTTGGGTGTTTACATCAGTTTTATAATTTTTAAACGTGAATTTGGTCCCTGTTTTGGAGCACACAAGCTATTAGACATCCTTAACAAACAATACATCTAAAAACTTTATTTTAATTTCCTTTAGGACACTGTGCTGAACAAACACTCAGTGGAAAGTTTTCTGCAAAGAGCAAAGGGACACCCATAACCCAAAGGTTGAAGGTCAAGATTTACAGTCCTCTTTTCTTGAGGAGGAGACCTGGAAACCTGAGTCTGGCCGCTTTGCCCTTTACTATGAGCTTATTTCCATCAGGCCTTCTCTCTGGCCAGCCGTGCCCTTCTCACATGTCCTGAAACGCTGGGAATGTGACCCGAGTTCAGTGAAGGCCAGGAATTCTGGGACTGACATTCACCGCGATGAACCACTCATAAACAGGCATCAGCAGCTAAGAATACATTATAGTGCACGCACAGTTCAAGACAACATGAGCCGCACTGCGGTGAAATTTCTTTGTACATTAAGTTTTACAAGGTTTTTACAAATAAATCGAACCCCATTATCTAAAACTGACCACAGAGAGGTTTAAAAAATTGTAAATAATAATAATAATAATAATCATTATAAAAGCTTCTTCGATAGTTATTCACTCAGTTATTCACAAAGTTTAAAAACACCTTACAGATATCACAAAATTCAGAGATGTGAGCTTTTCAAGAGCCACACATGTCTCAGTGGTTAGCACTGTTGCCTCACAGCAAGAAGGTTACTGGTTCAAGTCCCAGCTGGCATTTCTGTGTGGAGTTTGCATGTTCTCCCAGTGTTGGCGTGGGTTCCCTCCGGGTGCTTCGTTTTCCCCCACAAGTCCAAACATATGCGGTACAGGGGTCTGTTCTTCGTACGTGGATTACTCAGTTAGCTGGATTTGGATATTGACTATTTGACACGATGCAGGATCGTTTCGTTCTTCAAAGCTGATCCGAGAGTTGTTGTCATAGCAACAGTTCTGCTAGCTTAAACCTGATCGGGAGCAGGTTCAATTCATATAAACAGGATTAGATCGGCTCAGTTCAAGCAAAGATAATACAGAAGGTATGTACCGAATTCTGATATTTTATTACAGTAGTAGTTATATACACTTGGGAAAATGGTACATATTTTTAACTATATATATAGAAAGTTATAGTCATTAATAAAATAAATAAAGTTATACATATTAATAAAACGTATGCAATCTGCACCCTCGAAATGAAAGTACAAAGACTGCCACCAGGTGGTGCAAAGAGAAAACTTATTGATATGAACTTTTTAGATCGCTTTAGTACAAATTGTGTATAAAATGCACAATATGTGACTTTTTTTTAAGCAATAATACATTAATGCAGTCATAAACATGTTTTGATAGTTAATATGCCGGTGATTTGATGCTTCACAAAAGTTGCAGACGCCTTTACCAATATGAAAATACTTTTGTAAACAACCAGTTATTCTTTACACAGATTAAAAAACGGCTACTATAATATAGACAATATTTTCTAAATGTGGAACTAAATACATTGATTTGCATTGAAATACATGATGAATACTCTTGACACATGAAAGTGTAAAGCCTGCAGCTCACAACAAATGTGGAAGGTTATTGCGCGTCATATTTAACAAACCGTTTACTGCTAATTTGATGTAATTTTGCTCACATGGATAATTGAATATTAATCAGATGATGTCATTACGCTGCTGTGCCGTCAGCCAATCGTTGCATTGCTGATCATGATTTCGAGGATCGATAGATCTGTCCTTCACAACACACACAGCGATCTCAGATCAGTTTATCCAGACATTCTAATCTGATTCGCGAACTTGTTTGAAGAACCAAATTAGCCAGAGAACAGTTATCAAGATTAAAAGATCCAGGATCTGCCAAATCATCTTAGATCATTTAAGCGAGGTACGAAGAACGCACCCCAGGTGAATTGAGTAATCTAAATTGTCCGTATTGTATGTGTGTGAATGAGTGTGTATGGATGTTTCACATTGATGGGCTGCAGCTGGAAGGGCATCCGCTGCGTAAAACATATGCTGGATAAGTTGGTGGTTCATTCCGCTGTGGCGACCCCTGATTAATAAAGGGACTAAGCCGAAAAGAAAATGAATGACTTGGCCATAGTGTATGTGTGTGTGTGTGTGTGTGAATGAGTGTTTCCCTGTACTGGGTTGCAGCTGGAAGGGCATCCGCTGCGTAAAACATATGCTGGAATAGTTGGCGGTTCATTCCGCTGTGGCGACCCTTGATAAATAAAGGGACTAAGCCGAAGGAAAATGAATAATTACACTTATAATAGATAGATATATATTACATAAATATAATATATAGTATTATATCAATTATATAATTAAATAATAATATATAATTTATCTTTTTAATTTTATTTATTATTTATTTATTGCCATATCAGCAGCTTATGGCTATTTCATGGTAAAATTGAAATATATAAAAATATTACATGATGAAAAAAATTTTGTTTTACAATAAAAAGAGTTACTTAGACAAATATATAGGATAGAAATAAATAAAATTCACACAAAAATATATTTAAAAATTACATTTTGTAGTTACATTTTTGATAAATAATTTAAGAATTCTCCTGGTGGTACTTTTGTAAAAATGTCCATCAAAGTATTTCCTTATAAAAATTTAGTCTAATGGTATTTACACTTCCACATTCCAACAAAAGATGTTTGATGGTAAGAGCATCTTGGCAGTAATCACACTTAGGTGGTGCTTCGTTATTCAGTAAATACAAACGAGTCAACCTACAGCAGAATGCCCAATTCGACATCTAGTTTAGACAGTTTGTTCATGCCTGGTCTCAAAAATATAATTTGCAAAGTGTTTTTTATTTATTTTGGGGTTAATTTCATGCAATTTATTAACATATAACTAAATGTAATATACTTACAATACAGTATACCTAAAAAAATAAGTGCTGTGTAACAGAGAGGAGTTTTCTCAGCACATTTCTGCACATAATAGTTTTAATAACTCATTTCTAATAACTGAATTATTTTATCTTTGCCATGATGACAGCATATAATATTAGACTAGATATAGAACACTAGCACTCAGCTTAACGTGACATTTAAAGGCTTAACTAGATTAATTAGGCAAGTTATTGAACAACAGTAGTTTGCTCTGTTGAGAATGGATTATATAACTTCCTAAGGGGGCTAATAATATTGCCCACAGCAGTTATTAATATATATATATATATATATATATATATATATATATTCCAACCAAACTGACAGAAATAAGACTTTAGGTGGAAAATATAATAGGAAATACTGTGAAAAATGTCCTTGCTCTGATAAACAGCATTAGGGAAAAAAAAAAAATTAAAGTTTCACTAAAGGGCGATAATATATTATTTTCTTTGTAAAATTTCATGTTGTAAATAACAGTAACGTCTCTGAATATTGAAGTAAGCACTGAATGGACAGAGATGATGATGACATCACTTCCTCCAACATTCACATAAGGGTTAGACTGATAAGGGTTTGTCAGCATTTCATGTTTGTTCGAACACAAATGTGTGTGCGTATATAAACAGAGACCGAAAAAAAGGATGACCAAAAAGTCTGAATCATAAATTTAGCTAAAAGGCTAGCCATACAGTCACTGTATTATACTGCTTCGGCTTAGTCCTTTTATTCATCAGAGGTCACCACAGCAGAATGAACCACCCACTATTCCAGCGGAGACCCTTTTAGCTAATTTAGTTCATCAATTCCCCTATAGCGCATCTGTTTGAACTGTGGGGGAAGCCGGTGCAGTGGGTAGCATGATCGCCTCACAGCAAGAAAGTCGCTGGTTCGAACCTAACTTGGATCAGTTGGTGTTTCTGTGTGGAGTTTGCATGTTCTCCCCGTGTTAGTGTGGGTTTCCTCCGGGTGCTCCGGTTTCCCCCACAAGTCCAAAGATGTGGTATAGGTGAATTGAGTAAGCTAAATTGTCCGTAGTGTGTGTATGGATGTTTCCCAGTGATGGGTTGCAGCTGGAAGGGCATTCACTGCGTAAAACTAATGTTGGATAAGTTGCCGGTTTATTCCACTCTGGCAACATAAATAATAAATCAATTATATATATAGTTGTTTAAGTTTATTTTATTTGCAGATGATACAAGCATTTTTTGTTCTGGGCATAATTAACCAAAACTTATGGAGTCGATTAAAACAGAAATTGATAAATTGAAATTATGGTCTGACGTAACCAAATTGTCATTGAATATAAGTAAAACAAAGGTTATGTTATTTGGGAAATTAAAAAGTAGTTATAATATAGATTTGCAAATTGATAATGAGGTTATAGAAAGAGTGTTTGCAATTAAGTTTCTTGGTGTTGTATTGAATTATAAAATTAGTTGGAAAGTTGGTAAAAATTATAGCAATAGTGTATAAAGCAGGATTTATCCTGGACAATAAATCAATGTATATATTATATAACACACGTATGTTGCCATACATGAGTTATTGAGTTACAATTTGGGGGAATACATATCAATCTAATTTACGTTCAATGCAGAAAAAAGTAATTCGACTAATAGAAGATGTCGGGTATTTAGAGCATACAAATCCTTTATTTTTTAAATTAAAGATACTTAAGTTGAATGATTCGGTTAAGTTTAAAACAGCACAGTTTATGTATAAAGCTAGGAATAAACTACTTCTAAAATGTTTACAAAAGTTTTTTGAAGAACGATTAGGGGGGTATAATCTGAGAGAAGAACTACATTTTTGGATGTTGAAAACAAGAACAACTTTAAAAAGTTTGTGTATGTCTGCACGTGGTGTAAAACTATGGAATAGTCTAGATCAGACTCTAAAACAGGATATTGATCAATTTTAAAAACTGTATAAATATATATTAATAAAGGAATATGAAGATGAAGGTGATTGAAAAAGAATAAAAAGAGAAAGGTATGATGAACATTTAATTAATGGCTATTTGCAGTACTTTGTTGTTGTTTTTCTTTTTGTCTATATGCAGTACTATGTATTTTATTTGCATTTTTTTTCTTTGGGTCTATATGTTACAAAATGAAAAGGTACAAATGGAATCAAACATATTATTTGTCAAAGATGCCAAAAAAATCAAATATGTTTCATGTAAAAAGAACAGATGAGTAAAAGAATAAATAAGTTTAAGTAATAAACGAATGATGTATGTGGTAATGGGGTGGGAGAATAATAAGCTTATGCTTCATCCCGCTCCATTTTCGACCATGTTGAAATGTATTTCTTTTTGTTAATGACATTTTATGATATTTTGTTTGAAAATAAATCAAATAAAAAAAAATGTATTTATATACACACACACACACACATATATATATATATATATATATATACACAACAGTTCTGTCTGGTTCTCAAATCTGATTGGCTGATAGCCGTGTGATATTCTGCAATATCAGAACTCCTACAGCCTCTTTACCTTTTGTGTATTACTCTGCCCACATACAGCTAGCAACAAGCAGACACACTCCCACCAGTGCCGATATACAGCCATATCGCACTGCCACTCGTGTGATATTGCTCATATATATATATATAAATATATATATATATATATATATATATATATATATATATATATATATATATTACAGTACACTGTTTTATTATAAATTATTAAACACAGACACTTATGCCTATATTTCTTTTGCATGTATGCATTAATAGTCATGTTAATTTGCCTATATACATTATTAATTCGCTATAAAGTAATTGGTATTTAAGTATTTCAAAAATGTAAATGAAACCATTAATGATACTGGTTAAACTGGCCTATATAACGTTAATAATCAATTACACTTTTTTTCTCCTTCCAGATGAAACAAGTTTCAGAAAAGTTGTTTAATGATGCTGAGGTAAAGTTGGTTTCATGTTTGTACATTGGTCCAGTAGGCTATTAACTTGTAGCACTATATTGTTGTTTACCAGGGTGAATACTGGGTCTGAAATCGCATGTGACATTTGCACTATTTGAACAACACTGCAACGTTACTTTGATAACATTGGCTGATAATATGATTACTTTATTTAGTATTGGCAAACAATACATTCCTATAATGATGCAAGGAGAATGTGTTAATATGAAACCAACTTTACCTCAATTTTAGAGTTGATAATAATAGGGTTAATCTTTTAAAAGTGGCATTACCTGACACCTGCCCACGATGTCGGACTCTGTGGCGAGTAAATCCACAACTTTGCCCTTTCCTTCATCACCCCATTGCGCTCCCAGAACCACCGTCACTTTGTTCCCTGAGTCGTTCCTCGGCCGCTTACCGGAGACCGGCGGCGGGTTCGAGTAGCTCCTGTGGTCGTTCTGTGACCAGCCGGAGGACATGCTGAGGAGTCTGAGGAAAAACCGGTCTGAGAGTCGCTCAAACTGCCGGAGAAAACAGCTGTGTGTCCGTCGGTCTGTCTGTCGCTCACACGCAGGCTCAACTGAGGGGAGGGGGACAAGACAGGGTTGCCAGGTGACGCAACAAAACTAACCAATTAAAGAGGCCGATAATGCCACTATCATTATTTTTTTAATGTATCCTGTTCTGTTTTGTTGTTGTTGTTTTTATTGTTTTTTTATTTATTATTATTAGAGTTATTCGAGTTTTCAATTATCTTTGGAACTTCTGTTTTTTTTATAGATTTTTAATTTTCACTCAGCTCAAGCTAAAAACCCGATTTGCATTATGAGGGATGTTTTTGGTTGAACAATCTGGCATTAAAATGTAATGATGCTACAAATAAAATACAGAAAACCCATTTGGAAATGAACCACACACTTGTGAAATAATTTTAAATAAAAATATATTTAAAAACCTAAAATAATTAAAATGTAATCGATGGACTTTTAGTTAGGCCTGTTATTTTATCAAATACTGCTGCCAGTATGTTACAAAAACAGCAGCACACACGCAACAGTCATTGGTCTCCACTATTATTGATACAATGATTTCTAATGCATTTGTATATATTTTACCTAAATTATTTCAGCTAAATTAAATTCATCAAAACTTTGTAACCCGCTAAATACAAAACACCAATTCCGCGGAGGGAAAGCGTGGACTTGGCAACCCTGTAGACGAAAAGATGAACCCTTGTCACACAGAAGGATGAATGACATTTCTCATGTTCACTGTTTACTGCTTCAGTTCAGCACACAGTAGTTTTTTTCCGTGTATAAATTCATCTGCACTCATTCACGTGACAACTGTTACTTTTCTCATCGCTGGATACAAAACATCAGTCGCAACCGATTATGATTACTGTGAGAGATATAGATAAGGCAGTTTTTTTATTCGTGTATTTAAATGTTTACAACTGAAAGGCTATATCAAGCAAAGGCTACAACTATCTTACAAAAATCATTTAGCGGGCATGCGCAGTTTGCATGCGGCTATTGAGCTATGAAAACAATGCGCTATTGATCGCATGTCTGAGCATGTGATAAAACATCAGATGATACAATCAATGCTCATCTGACGCAAGTTAACGCTTTAGTTTCAGAAGCCTGGTGTGATTTGGTTTATACAGTTGTAAGCAGAAGTTTGCATACACTGTGTATAAAGGCACATAACCATAAAAAAAGAGTCAGATGTTTATGTGACGAAACTTTTCCTCTTTTAGGTAAGTTAGGATGATCACATTTGTTTCTTTTCTGCTTAATAGCAGAATAATGAGAGAACTAATTGTTTGAGAAATTGTTATAGCTTTTTTTGAAAGTCAAGTTTACACACAATAAGATTATTCTGCCTCTGATAAAGCTCAGATCATGGTGTCAGGGTTTTGGAGGCTTCTGATTGGCTAATTGACAACATTTGAGTTAATATGAGGCACAACTGTAGAATAGTGTTGAAGGAAAAGCTCAAACACACTGCTTCCTTGTGTGACAACATGAGAAAATCAACAAGCCAGAATCAACAACAAAGCCAGATTACCATTAGCTAAATTACACTGGGGAAAAGACTAATGTTTGGAGACATCGCCTGTGGACTGATTGAAATGTTTGGCCATAATGAGCAGTGTTACATTTGGAGGACAAAGGGGAAAGCTTACAAGCCTAGGAACACCATCCCAACTGTGAAGTATGGGGGCAGCAGCATCATGTTGTGGGGCTGTTTTGCTGCAGGAGGGACTGGTCCACTTCACAGCATAGATGGCAACATGAAGAAAGAACATGATGGAGAAATACTGAAGCAACATCTCAAGACATCAGCCAGGACATTACAACTTGGCCACAAATGGCTCTTCCTAAGCATACTGCCAAATTAGTTTAAATGTAATTTAAGCACAACAGAGTGAATGCTTTGGAGTGGCCATCACAAAGCCCTGATCTCAGTCCTATAGAAAATTTATGGGCTCAGTTACACCAATTCCATCAGAAAAAATGGGCCAAAATTCCTGCAAACTATTTTGAGAAGCTTGTGGAAGGAGACCCAAAACATCTGACCAAAGTTATACAGTTTATAAGCAAAGCTAAAAACATACCAAGGAAATGTGTGTAAACTTTTGACTGTCTAGAAATTAATTTAAAAATCTCTCATTATTCTGGCATTTAGCAAATGTAAATCATTTAGGTAATCTTGATGGACCTAAAATAGTAGTTTAGTATGATTTACCATCAGACTTTTTTTTAAAAATGATTATGCTCCTTTTTTTTAAGGGTGTATGTAAACTTCTGGTTTCAACTGTAAATGTACTGACAGAGGGTGAATAGAGTAAACATAACAATATTTGAAACTAAAAGTCCAGATAGCAGCATACTTTGTGACTTGATTGCTTACATAAAGAATTGCAATCATTTAATTTGTTTCACAAGCTTTCTAATCTGCTGTATAGATGTGCAAATTATGCATGAATTATTAAACATGCACTAATTTGCATATAGCTCAAAAATCTGTACATTTCAAGTAAGATTCAAAATTGTTGTTTTTATTTGACAAACAGCATTTAAGGAATAAAATAGAAAAAAATAGAACATAATTGATGAATATAATTAAGAAAATTATACACAGTTAAAGTCAAAATTATTAGCCCCCTTTGATTTTTTTTATTTCCAAAATGTTGTTTAACAGATTCAGGAAATGTTCACAGTATGTCTGATAATATTTTTTTCTTCTTAAGAAAGTCTTATTTGTTTTTTTTCAGCAAGAATAAAAGCAGATAATAATTTTTTAATCACCCTTTTAAGGTCAATATTATTAGCCCCTTTAAGCGACTTTTTTTCTCTCAATAATCTACAAAAAATAATTATACTATAACTTGCCTGATTACCCTAACCTGCCTAGTTAACCTAATTACCATAGTTAAGCCTTTAAATATCACTTTTAGCCAGGCATGTCCAAACATGTCCGTCATTTTGTAGTATAAATAGTGTAAGTAGTGCATTCAGACTGTAAACTCTAACAATAATAAGTGCACTTTAATTACCCGGATGATGCACTCATTCAGCCGCTAAAATGAAGTGTGTAATGATGGACACTTCACACACTCAGCGACCGCAGGTTTGCTTACGTAGCGGAAGGGGTGGAGCTATCGGACGCACATGTTGGATAACTTTATTTATTTTGGATGGTGAAAGCAGTATTCTCCTACGAGAGTGATTATAGCGCCTCCCGGTGGTGAATGCGGTTATACTCACGGCAGGTATTATTTGATAATTTGGTCATTTATTTCACTGATTTGGCGCCGTCAAACGTCATCAGGGAAACTATTTGAATTTCCGCTTAGTAAAAAAACATTAGTGTGCCATTTGGGACAACACTACATACATGTACTATCCTGTTGAGTGTTTAAGTGCATAAGTACATAGTGCATGAGTGCATAGTGTATAGTGTGCCATTTGGGACGCAGCTATTGTGTTGCAGCTGAACTCTGCAGGAAGGTAGATCTCCAAGAACAGGGTTTAGCACCCCACTAAGCTTTCTAGAAACATCTTTGCAGGTGTGTTGGGGCAAATTGGAGCTAAAATCTGCAGGACACCGACCCTCCTTGACCAAGTTTGGACACCCCTGCTTTAAGCTGTATAGAAGTGTCTTGAGAAATATTCAGTCAAATAATATTTACTGTTATCATGGCAAAGATAAAATAAATCAGTTATTAGAGATGAGTTAATAAAACTATTATGTTTACAAATTTGTTGAAAAAATCTCCTCAGTTAAACAGAAATTAGGAAAAAAATAAACAGTGGGTGAATAATTCTGACTTCAACTGTACATGAGCTATGTATTTGACTCTATAAAAACCTTCAGAATATAAATATGAATAAAACTGAAGTTTGGTCCATTTAAGTGTGGGTAAAATAAATAAATAAATGCTTAAAAGAGTATTTTGGATGTTTTCTACATCAGACTGTGAGAAAAAAATCCCTTCATGAAGTTTAATTTTACATTTATTTTTATATTTTTACACAGTGCAACAAGCCAGTTGTTTTCACGGGCATGTTCAGTTAGGGTCACACTATGCTAAATATTTTATAATAATACAGTTTAATATAGCGGAACAGTGGCTCAGTGGTTAGCACTGTGGCCTCACAGCAAGAAGGTTACTGGTTTGAGTAATTTGTGGTCCCCGCCAAAAGCGAAGAGTGTGGGGGTTGGGGGAGGAGGCTGTCTTGGACGAAAGTGAAGAGCGTGGAGTGGGGGTTGTCGTGGATGAAAGTGAAGAGCGTGGGGTAGGGGTTGTCATGGATGAAAGTGAAGAGCGTGGAGTGGGGGTTGTCGTGGATGAAAGTGAAGAGCGTGGGGTGGGGGTTGTCGTGGATGAAAGTGAAGAGCGTGGGGTAGGGGTTGTCATGGATGAAAGTGAAGAGCGTGGAGTGGGGGTTGTCGTGGATGAAAGTGAAGAGCGTGGGGTAGGGGTTGTCATGGATGAAAGTGAAGAGCGTGGAGTGGGGGTTGTCGTGGATGAAAGTGAAGAGCGTGGGGTGGGGGTTGTCGTGGATGAAAGTGAAGAGCGTGGGGTGGGGGTTGACGTGGACGAAAGTGAAGAGTGTGGGGTTGGGGGGTTGTCGTGGATGAAAGTGTAGATTGTGGGGTGGGGGGTTGAGGCTGTCATGGATGAAAGTGAAGAGTGGGGGTGGGGGGTTGTTGTGGATGAAAGTGTAGAGAGTGAAATGGGGGGTTGGGGTTGTCATGGATGAAAGTGAAGAGCGTGGGGTGGGGGGTTGGGGTTGTCGTGGATGAAAGTGTAGAGCGTGGGGTGGGGGTTGGGGTTGTCGTTGACAAAAGTGAACAGCGTGGCAGTGGGGGGGCTGTCCTGGACGAAATTTAAGAGCATGGGGTAGGGGTTGTCGTGGACGAAAGTAAAGAGCATGGGGGTGTGGGGGGTTGTCGTGTACGAAGGGTGAAGAGGGTGGGG